GCATACGATTATGAAAGCATCCATGCCCAAACCATAACAACGTTCGTGTTCCTAGAGCAGACAGTTAGCAGAGCATCCATGACGCAACCATAATAGCGTTCGTGTTCCTAGAGCATACGATTACGAAAGCATCCATGCCCAAACCATAGTAGGTTCGTGTTCTTATATAATTACCCCCAACATGTCATAAGAGTCAAATCCCTTATGTCAAAAGGGATCACAGGATTTTTAAAGAGTCAAATGGATTGCGAATGTGTGACTGAGGCGGGATGGTCGCCAAATTTGAGTCGGGACGATACCTGCTACCGCGAATGTCAGCTTAGCTCTTTTTCTCCCAGACCCTAACCCTCATAGTATTTCGGTTTTTTGAACTGCTCACGTCTGTTTTCGTCTCCATTGACATTTCCACGTGAAGTCAGTGACTAAAGCCGCACGCGCATGCCAGCGTAGAGATGCCTTTGGTTCAGGAGCTCAGTGTGCTTGCGCAACAGACGGGGTAGGAATCTTCATGGACCTTGTTAGTGCTCAAGCCATCGAGCTCAAAGCCCGTCAAAAAGACGCTTCAATGTAGCAAGATGCAGACCTGCCTGCGAGATCTTCCAGACAGGCTCTGGAGGGGCAACACCTGGATGAGGGGGGGCAGAGGCCGTGGGCACGGCTGGGAGGCCCAGGCCGGAAGCTCGTGGCAGTGCGCCAGAGAAAGCCTCCAGGATGGGCAACGCCTGGATGGGTGCCATGCCAGGGGTCCGAAACATAACTTGGTATGCCATCAATTTTTCTTGGCGGCTGACTTTCAGGACCAAGGCCACGAGCATCTCCTTCCCGATAGGCCCCTTGCTCGAGCAGGGGGTTGGCGAGGAGGAGGCCGTAGCGGCCGCGCTGCGGAAAGCAAAGGCACACCGCAAGGCGCTGCTTAAGCCACTTGCGGCCTTGAAGCGAGAGCAAAGCAAGCGCTCCTCTGTGAAAGGAGTGGGTTTCGACAAAAGAGCACAGAAGTGGCGGGTGCTTGTTGGATGCCGCCACGAAGAAGCCAGCTTCGGGTGGCTTGTTCGTCATGCTACGCATTTTGCATGGCGGCTACAGGTCAACATAAAGGCCAAGGCCAAGAATATCTCCTTCTCGACATGCCCCTTCTTGGAGCAGGGCGTCAGCGAGGAGAGGGGCGTAGCGGCCGCCCTGCGCAAATTCAAGGCTCACCGCAAGGAGCGCGCAAGGGCGTCCTGAAGCCGGAGCACAGCAGTCACTTCACGGTGAGGGGGGTGAGTTTTCGCACAAAAGAACAGAGCCCAATAGACCAGATTAGGCAACAACTTGTTTACGTAGACGAAATGGTAACATTTATCACTTGTCTACGAAAAAAATGTATCTATTCACACAAACTTTTGTCTACAACATCTGTCTATTTAGAGAAGTTTTTTGTCTAACGTGGTCCGAAAGCAGACATTTTTTCACTAGACAAATCTATGCGGACCTCAAAACCCGAAATTTCGAAGAAGTTTCGGATAAAGTTCGGCTTGCGCGCCCGCACTTTGCAAGAAGCTTGGTCGAAGTTTGGCTTGACAAATCGGCTGTTTTCGACGAAGCTTGCCAGAAGTTTGCTCGAAGTTTGCAAGGGGAAGGCTCCAAGTTTGCAAGGGGAACGCTCGAGGGGAAAAAATCGAAGTTTCCCGGGGGCAAAGTCGAAGTTACCAATGGGTCACGGCCCATTGCATTATCACTGGCACCAGAGAGGCTACTAACGTGAGAAAGCAAAATCAAGAAGATGCAGGTGTGATGGCCCTGGCTTGGGCTCAGGGCTTAAGCTCCAGCTACAGGGCTGGTGGACAGGGTCTGTGTGGGGGCTACGCGGTTAAAGCTTTGAAGTTCAAGAACTTGGGCTGCTTAACTGCTTTTGTTTCGGCGGGCTGGGAGTGGTTGAAGTTTTAAGTTTCGGGGATCTGGGTTACTTAGCTGTCTTGCTCTGGGGGCCTGGGAGGTTGAAGTTTTAAGGTTCAGAGATCTGGGTCACAGAACGGCTTTCCTCTGGGGGGCTGGGAAGTTAACGTTTTGAAGTCAAGGGATCTGGGCTACTAAACTAAACTATAGGTAGATCTCTCTGAAATAATCGTAAGTCTTCTTAGAAGACACATTTTATACAACAGACGTAAAACTAGTGTTTATGAGCGGAGGATCATGGTTTGATATTGGTAGGCAATTTCTGATTAGCATTGTATTGGCTACCACTATGTGCAATATTTAGCCGTAAATATACCAGTGCAATTTTTTTTGGCTGTTACCGCCTACAGCACCCACCTGGCCCTGCATGTTTGTCGTCAGGCTTGACCCAGACGTGGGGAAGTTCACCAAAGGGCACAAGAGGATCACTCAGAATGACATGAAGCACTGGCGCCATCGCAAGGTTGGGTGATCCCCCGAGCGTTGCTGTCATGTATTTTTTAGTGTGATAACTCAAATGTGATGGTGGTAGCTACAGCATCAGTAGTAGCATGGGGGTATGAGCAGCAGTTCTAGTAAGGGTGGTGCTCGTACAGTGCTTGCAGTTGCACTTTGCAGGAAAAGCAGCTGCTCCAGCATCAACTGTGTCAAACAGAAAGCGCACTTTTTGGGGTGAAGGGACCTGGTTCGTTTCATGTGGTAGTAAGGGCAATCATCTAGCTTTTGAAGAAGCATAACGAAAGAAAGGCCCCCACAAGGTTGTGGTTGCTCCATAGGAGAAAGGCTGGCTGAGTCAACGCTGGTAGTATGGAACTTCCGCGGCTATCGCGTTTCATTGTTAATCAACCACAATGGCCGTGAATGGCGCAAGCAAGAGCATATAAGTGTGTCCTAGTATTTTTTCTGGAAGCTTCAAAGCTGAATTAACTACTGTCTTGGCAGCGGGCAGCCGCGCAATCCGAAGGACCGCTTGACGGTGGCGGAGTACAATGCTGCGGCTATGAAGTCCGTCTCGCAGCTTCAGGACTCGACGGACTTTTCTGTACCTGCGAAACTGTTGCTCGGATCACATTGCTGAGGGCAGTTAAAGTAGTCAACTTAACTTCTACAGCTTTCTGACGCTTACATTGCACACTTACAGCAAGCTACTTTGACGTGCAAAGGCAGGCTTCAGAGGCACCTTGCGCCCTTTTACTCGGCCTTCTTGTACAAAAACTGGGCCCGCACGTACAACATCATGCCAAAGTCTGCACCCTGAGCCCTGCAGAAGCAGCAACCACAGCAACAGCATGGGCAGTGGAAGCAGATTCAATTGCGGCACCGAACTCCCCACTTCTGGACTTCAGCTGCCACTGAAGTCTGGGCCGAGGTGGCCGTAGAGTTGGTGACCCAGGCACCGTGAGACGAAATGCGTCCTACATTTTCACGCTCTGGACATGCCAAACGACTAGTTGGGCGATGTGTTAGGCAAAAAACCAGTCCAAAATTGGCTGAAGCTGCCTCTCCACAACCCGTTCGCATTTTCTCACAACCACGCCAGGCGAAACCAATTTTGGAGGTGCAAACACCCGTGAGCCCATAAAGGCTGTCCACAGAAACCATGCGAGCAAGCCAAAGTCCAAGAAGTCCTTGCAGGCCTGGACGCCTTCAAGATAGTTTCTCGTGTATTTTGCTGGTGGCAATCAGGCCGTTGTGTGTGTGTGTGTGTGTGTGTGTGTGGCATAATGCCTCCTTTTCACAAGGGCATGCTGTTGTTCCATCGTGGCCGACAGGTTGGCATTAAGATCCTGGGACTCACGTCCTGCAAGGGTGACTTGATTGAGGAGGAAGGAGCGAGATCGCTGATACAGCAGCTTCCATAATGTCGCATAGCGCCTTAGCGAAGGCGGCTCGGGTTCTTCGCGTCTCGGAGTTGATACGGGTCGTGAAGCACAAGCCTTGCAGCCGCGCGACGTGCCCAGTTTACGACGCCATGTGCATGTGACCTTGAGTGTATGCATGCAGAAGCTGCAACTTGATGACCTGAAAAATCCTGAAGCGTGCCCGCCTCCATGCGCTCAGCCGAAGGAATGGTGCAGTGAGTTGGGTGGGTTTGTTCTGCACGCGAAATTGTTGTTCATGTGCCGGAAGCTCTAAGTGTAAGCAATCTGAACAACAACAAGTAGTTCAGATTCGATGAATCCACAAACGTGGCAGAAGTCATCAAACGCATAACTCTGCCAGACTGCTTGTCCAAGTGTTAACGTGAACTGTCTCGTACAGGTTGCGCCGTGGTAGTCTGCTGCAGCTGTTTCGTTCCATGATGCTGTTCATATGGGTGGTTGTCAAGATTATGGTCCCTTTTTGGATCCCTATTACAATACGGCAAATTTAGGGTACGCAAAAAGGGACCATAATTTCAACAACCACCCGTATAGATCGCAGGGGTGGCTTGGCCTCTGATACATATTGGGACTTCCTGTTATGCTGTTCAAGCTGTGCATTCTTGTAAGCGTGTATGTTAGTTATGATGCAAGCCTTTGCGGCTTGTGTGCATAGGGATTTAGCAATTATTGGTGGGAGCGAAGCCGTCTTAGATCTTGTCGCGGGCGTTCCAGTGCTGCTCTCTGGCACACTGAGCATTAGCAGAGCCCATCAGTATAAATATTCTTGGAGCAACTTAGATAGATTATTGATTTGGTTGACAGCATTATTCTCCATATCAATACACAAGAGCACGACAGGAGACACCGCGCGCAAAGTTACACGAGACATTGAAAAAAGACGAGATGACTGTCATAGAAGAGGACGGGAGAACGCTACAGCCACAAGGATGGCGATTCCAACCCATGCGACCTTTGCATCAGACAGGGTCCAAAGGTCTAAAGTCTAAAGCAACGATAATTTTGACCATGGTGCCCCAAGCCAGCTGCATCCCAGTGACTCTGGGACTCAGGACATGCCCGTCAAAGGATCCCAGAGTCCAACAGCAACCTCCCAAACCCGAACCGCGCATGATCCCGGTGAGTGTTTGAGCTTGACCCGCAAATGGGGATGCCATCCTCCCGGATACATTGTAAGATGATTTGCTCGACTTGGCTCTAGTATATTTCAAAAAATTAGTCTTGCTTGGTTTGAGCACCAAGACACTATTCGAAGGATTTTGCAAGAAGACCATGCATACCCTGAACTCCCGTGTTCAAAGCCCAGCCTTCGTTAAAGGAGATTTCGTTCAAGAGTTAAGGGTTAGGGTTCTGTAGCATTCGCTTCCTGACATCTGCTTTTTCCTTCCTCGGGTAGACAAGGCACTCAGAGCTCGTCGATTTCATGGTGAAGCGCCCGAAGCTTATTGTAGAGACAGCTCCTTGGTCCTGGATTACAGGCAGTTCCATCGATGTCGTTCTTCTGCTACTGGATATATATTGGAGTAATATAGGGATAATGGAAAAGAAAATGGAAGCTACTATAGTATATTTGTGTTATTTAGGGAATATGGCTTTGGGAGCAGTTTTAAATTAGCTTGTGTGAGTTTGCGCAATCGTGGCTTGCAACGCAACAGTTCGCAGTCGCAATAGCTGCCAAAATAAGGGGGACCCCAACATGGACCCGATCCCTATGATGGGGACCACCAAAAAGGTATTCCTAAGGTCGGGAAACCGCCCAACATCAAGCTGGCTTTAAGGCCAAGATGGAGTCCAAGAAGAAGTGTCTGCTGAAGGACGACACGGAAGCCCAGAAGCGGCAGCTGGAAACTTTCACGAAGTACTTCCTGAAGGTGCTTGGACCCTAAACCCTAAATAAGTACTTCCTGAAGGTGCTTGGGTTACTGTCGGACTGAGTTTCCCCTGTTTTTCTAGATGCTACAATGCAACGAGGATGAAACTCAGGGTTTGTTCTTTCTACGTTCAATGCATGGTCCAGGTTCCTGGTTTTAACAGCGAAGATCTTTCGGGACAAGTGCTTGATCTACCAGAGAACTGTCAAGATTTTCTCAAAACAGTTGGCGAAACAAACATGGAGGAGTTGATCAGCTGCTTGGCAAGACAGCCAGCGAACTTGCATGCTGCAAATTTCGATTGTCTTCACGGGATAGTAGGACTAAGCGAACAGTTGTTGTTAGTTTATAATCCCCTACATAATCCCAGTTTCCATGTCATTTTCCATTTCATTATCATTGACTGCATGAATTGCAGACATCAAGGTTCCGCGGACGAAGCGCAGGAGAACATGGAAAAGACATCATCAGAATCAGGTGATTCTCTTTTGGAGTCTTTGGAGCTTAGATCAGACCGTATCTCGGCAAGACATACTAGGTGCATTTTGCGTTGTTTGGCAAGGCCTAGCCTGCTCTTTTGACTGCTCAGTGGCTCAATCTGTTGATACAGGATTTGGCCTTTGTCTGAATGCACGATGGGATGTCGCCCTTCCTGAAGGGTCCCTGTGATTCCAGATCAATGGTTCTGCGGAGTATTTCGACTTATCATCCAAGAACTGCTCCATTACAAACCTTTGCCCATGGCAGTTTCTGTTGATTCGTATTGCTGCATGTGTTGTTGGTACCATTGATAGCCACACTGCTGGTGGGAACCATATGCGGAAGCTAGCGTTACTAGAAAGCGCTCTGGCAGGCAATGCTTCTGAGGCTGCAATTGCAAGTGCAGATGTTGGGAACATCCGCAACTACCACTTCCATGACGTCATTGCTATGTTGGATTTTGATCACCACGCCTGTACACGAACATTTTCATCAAAGTAGTGTGGCCAGTATCATCTGTGTCCCTTTCATCATGGTCATGCTGTACTGGTGCGAGACTGCCATTTGCAAGAAGCATGTTGGCCCTGCTGTTGCCATCGCCTTGCATGGTAATCAGCACCACATTTGCGTCCCTACGATGTTTCTTTCTGGTACACCTCCTGCTGCTACCCCTTCCAGGTTGTACTAAGTAGGAGGCATGTACGAATTTATTAGTATAGTGTTGTGCAGGAAACATTCTGAGAAGGGGGAAACTGACAGAATTGCCAGTCGCAGACGAGGCTTGCGCGAGGCAACCAGTGAGGATTCAGCGGCCAATAGTTTATTGCAAGGCGGAGCCTGGGCGCATCATTCGGAAGAGGTCAAATCAGCCGCAACTTGGACTGCCTAGCGCCTAGGGCTGTAGCTTCGTGACCCTCTTTCGCATAACATTAACTAATGAGCTTTATTTGGACAATCAGTTCGAATATCGAATCTAAAGAAGCTCTTCTGTTGCTTTGCATGTGGACACAGACTGAAGCAGCCAGCAGCCACACTGAGTTCTTCTTCATCCTCCTTTGCATCCTCGTTGCCTGGCTGTGCTGTATGATCGCTGGATTATTGCTGTACGGAGCCCTCCACAACTTAAAAGCCTGCATGGGAGAATCTCCGGCCGTGGGCGTCCCATGTCAAGCCACCTTGCGCAGATTGAGGAGTTGTTTTTTACTGAAGCGGTAATAGGGACTATTGAATTCCGGGAGCATATGGGAACCCTCGTCGTCTTGATCAGTACCCGAACAGGACCCCCCTCCCTGTAATAGCGTATAATAGGACTATAAGAGGACCCCAATATGTTTACCATTCTGCCTTACAGTCACTATTACTTGGTGGGCGGTCCACTTAAGAAATGCCCATATTTGTGTGTCTGACTCGTCTTCTTGCTGGCAGCTCTGTGCATGGTTGCAGGCCTTCTTTGTGATGGGAATGCTCGGGGGCCTGGTTGTCTTTGGCTGCTTGGATTCTGAGTCAGGGGTTTGGTTAAGGGTTTACGGCTTTTGTTTTAGGGTTTAGTATTTTCAGCGATAAAGTTGATCGTATCAGCGGCATCGCACAATCCTATTTCCTAACCCCCCTCGCAACATGTGACCGCATAATCTCCCCTCACTCCGCAGATATCCCATTGGGGGCACCTTGATTAAGAGAAGCTCCTGGATTCCTGGAAGGCTTGAGGAAGGTGCTGTGGGTCCCAGATTATCATCCCCTAACTTGTAGACGCCCAAATCTCCAACCCCCAGGCTCTAAAGAAAAGCGAACAAGCTTTAAGACTGCTACGGGATGAGTTGTTGGTTTACACGCTGGATTTCTTTCCCAAGTCTTCAACCCTCAATCCTTGCCCAAAAGCCCTGGCTTCCCCTGAGGTAGAAGTCCCTGAGCCCAAAGCCCGAAACCCCCAACCCTGCAAACCCGAAACTGTTTAGGGGGATATATGGGGTTATATAAAATTATGGGTATAGTATTGTTAAGTGCCCCCCGCCTTCTGGGGGTTTACCGGGCTTCCTGACATTGTGCTTCCTGACATTGTTCAACATGATGTTCAATACACATCCATGCCCAAACCACATTTCCGTTCGTGTTCCAAGAGAATACGGTGACTAGAGCATCCATGCCCAAACCATAATTCCGTTCGTGTTCCAAGAGAACACGGTGACGAGAGTATCCATGCCCAAACCATACTTCCGTTCGTGTTCACATGGTGCCCAAAACACACTGGGGCACTTAAAAATACTATACCGAAAGTTATATATATGGTTATATAGGGTTTAGGGTTTAGGGGGCGAGTGGTGGATCCCCATAACGATCCATCTTTTTTCCCACGCTCCCTCTGAAAAAGAAAAAAATCAGCGCGTCCTAATCCCAGGTTCTTGTTTGCCTTAACCCTACTTAACCCCAAGCCCTTAAACTCAACCCTAAGCCGTAAACTAGATCCTAAACCTCAAGCCCTAAACCCCTAAACCCCTAAACCCCTTAACCGAGGTTGCTTTTGTATGGCATGGCCGGTCGGCCTCACTGTGCTTCTGGGCTCTATCCTGCTTCTCGCTTGAAGTTTGGCAGTTTTTCTTAATCCCGAGCGATCCCTGAAAGGCTTAAATAGGGTTTAGGGTTCAGTGGTTGAGGGTTACGGGGTGAAGGTCAAGGGTCAAGGATTTAGGGAATTGAAAAGAAGACGGAAACTATGACCTCATTCAGGGTAGAGGGAGGATGTGGAGTGGGGTGGGGACGCATAATCAAGATATTTTATTGTAGAAGAGTAAGAGTAGTAAGAACAGTGGCCGTAATAGTGACAGCAATAGCACTAGTAGCAATACTAGTCATGGTAATTGTACATAATTGTAAGGGCAGTGGCAGTAGCAGCAGCAGTAGTGCAGTGGGAGTAGGAGTGGGGGTAGGAGTCGAAGTAGGGATGCGATAGGGCCTACCTTGCGCCCGCAAGTTTGGAGAGCTCCTGCATTGGAATGTTTTGGAATGCTTCTTTTGCCAAAGCTGTTCGTAACCTTTGCGAGGGAGCAACCAGTAAAGGCTTGCCTACAAGCTCGAAAACCCTGATCTGCCATCAGCAGAACATCACACGCGAGTGAACACTCACGTGAGCACTCACGTGAAGACATCGCAGCTCTGCATGATGGAAGATTTTGTTTGTTAGGTGTTTGCGGTGGCCTTCTTGTGTGCAGCTCCAAGGAGAAATCCCCGATCGTTGGAAACCAGCATGTGGTAAGACATTACGTTAGCTTCCGGGCTCAAGCCAAGGACGCACAATCATCATGTTGTGCACCATCGGACGGTTGTGGTTCGTCATGTTGCCGCCTGAGCGCCTTATACACGTGCAGGTTGCTCCTACAAAACATTGGGGAATGAAGATACAATGATCTTTTGCCATTGATATATTTGAGAGGAATCATTTCGAATCAAATCGCATATATTCTATATTTCCATTGCAACTGCAGGAGGGGGAACATTAAAAGCGTGCGTCCCACTTGCCCTACTCGCCCCCACTCGCCGCACTTGCCCCACTTGATCCACTTGCCCCAGTGGTTTTTGAAGTGGGGCAAGTGGCTCAAGTGGGGCAAGTGCCTCAAGTGGGGCAAGGGGGCAATGGGGGCAAGTGCCTCAAGTGGGGCAAAGGGGCAATGGGGGCAAGTGGAGGGGCAAGTGAGGCGAGTGGGTCGAGTGGGTCGAGTGGGTCGAGTGGGTCGAGTGGGTCGAGTGGGGCGAGTTCGGCAAGTGGGGCAAGTGGGTCAAGTGGGGCAAGTTGGGCGGTCGTGTGGCAAGTGGGTGCAAGTGGGGCAAGTGGGGAAGCGGCGGCAAATGGGTCGAATGGGGCAGGAGACAAGTGGGATAAAAGGAGAAAATGGGGACGCTTGATCCGCCCCAAGATATTTTTGATATACAATATTGCGTGGGCAGAGGAATTTATAAGCTTAATCAGGCTAAATTCAATAATGTAGAGCTTACTTATGAAAATTTTAGGTCTTGATTTATAATCTGGAAATAGAAATTCTTTGGAATTTTCAACATTGAAATTCGAAAATATAAATATTTATGAAGATATATTTCGTATTGAATTTGCTCGTCTTTTCTCAAATTTCTCAATTATGAAATATTAGAAAAGATGAAATATCTATTGAAAAATATAGATATTGGATATTCTGAGAGATAAAGAAATTTTCGAAATGAGAATTTCTTATAATATATTTGAAGAGATATATAAGAAGCTAATAGAATATTATTCTAGCAAATATTATATATATTCGAAATATTATCGATAAATTATTCTATTCTTATATGAATTTATCGATTTAATAGATGATTTCCAATTTGATTTATTTAGATATATTTATCTAGATTATAATAATATTATTGAATTTTTCTCAAAAGAGCATAGAGAAAGATATAGATTTTATAGATGAAAAAATGAAAGGATTATATTTATTGAAATGAGAAGGCAATACGTGATATGAGACCCTTAAATTATAGATTCAAACCCATTATTTCTCGTCGATCGCTTAAATCTTTGCTAAATATCAACCGATAATGAAATTTCATGCTGTATATTGAATTTGTCGGTCTCGTAATTGATAAGATTCTGAACTTCTGGGAGGGAAATGGATTTAATATATGATTTGGGACTTTGGAATATTAATATTTATTTGACATTTTTCTTTAAATTTTAGATAGATATTTCCGGGAAGATATATATATATTCGCTTTTGATAATTATGAATTTCGATATATCATTTTGATAAATTACGAATTATCATTCTCTGAGATTATTTTGATCCGTCATCTATTAGATCTATCGAAAATCGTTGATATTTATATAAATATATAGAGATTAAATATCTTATGCTTTTTCATATAAATATATTTCTTCTTTTTCATATCATTGATATTGAACGAGATTTAGATTGATATAATACATAAATTTTGAGATTATACGGAAATTTCTATTGAAGATATTTGGAATTTTCAGAATTCATTTATTTCGTAATTTCTCGGATTTTTAGAAATTATCGATCTTATTCATATTTTCAATTTGGATTTTTTTTCAGGAGAAATTCTCATAGATTTGATCTAAAAAAATATTTCTCATTCTATTTATTTCGTTATCTATCGATTATTTTATATCTCTAGATATATATTTATCGATATTTATATATCTATCTCTTTATATATTTCATGATCTATCTATCTCTTTATCTTCTTCTTTATCTATTTGATTAATGATTATTCTTATCTATTTATTCATTTATATATTGATCTCTAATAATCAAAATTCTTCTAATAATTTCAGGAATGCGCCGCTCCGAATTTCTCCAAGATCTTTGGGGAACGCATTGCGATATAGAAAAATCCTCCGAGATCTTCAAGAACGCGCCATGGCGCTCAAATTTCTTCTACAATTTTCTAGGAATTTTGTTGAAATATCTAATCCTCCTAAAAGATCTTCAAGAAGGTCGTCATGACGTCCAAAAATCCTGAAAGATATTCGTAAGGCCTTCAGAAGAATCATATCGTGACGACCAATATTCTTTCAAGATCTTATAAGAGAAACCCCATGATTTCTATAATTCCTTCTCGGATCTTCCAATAATATAAGATGATATCCAATATTTCTTTGAGAATATAATCTGATATCCAAATTTCTTTAGGAATTTCAGGGTCCGTCCCGGGATACGCATTATTACGATATCTAAAATTCTTCAAAGATCTTCAGGGAAGCCGTCAAGACGTCAAAAATTCTTCAAAGATCTTCTGGGAATTATCGTGACGCTAAATTTTTTTCCAGATTTTTCAAGGAACGCGCCATGATACGCAACAATTCAGAGAACTCATTCTAACGTCTGAAATGCTCGTTGAGATATCCAAAATTCTTCTAAGATTTTCAGGAGATATCCAATATTATTTAGAGGATTTTCAAATAATCTATCTTGATATCAAATATTCTCCGAAAATCTTCAGGGAATGCAACCTAATATCTAAAATTTCTCCAAGATCTCATGGAATCTAATATGATATCTTTCTAAGATCTTCAAGAGACGTTTATGACATCTCAAATTATAGATATTCAGAGAGCGCAATATGATATCCAATCTTCCTATAAGATCTTTGCAATACGTATCGTGATATTGCAAATCTTCCCAAGAATTTCTTAGAATATAATATGATATCTAAATTTCTTCCAAGATCTTCAGGGAACGTTCCAATATCCGAAATTCCTCTAGAATATTCCAGGATCTTGAGAGATTGCGTCTTCACGCCCAAAATTCCTCCAAGATATGCGAGGCAATATTTTCTAGAAATTTCAATAGATATATTATTATGTCTATCATCTTTGCAATATCTTCAGAGATCATATAAATATATTTTCAGAGAATAAATAGATTTATTTTTAAATATTCATTTTTCCTGAATGATACGGAAATCCAATATTTGAGAATATCGAAAATCTTATAATCTAATATTATCTCCATTTTTCATGATCTTTTAGAATTTGATGAATATAAACGATAATCATTCGGATTATAGATTTCCTATTTTCATATTCTAAATATAGAAATGAAGATTATATACATTCATCTCAATTTTGATAGAATTTTTGATTCTTAGATAAGGATTCTATGATAGGATTCTATTATTTAGAATTTCATTTGATATCTATTTAGATATAATTTAAATATCTTCTATTCTTAGATTTCTAATTTTGAATAAGAATATTGATAAATAAGAATCTTATGAGAAATTCCGTATGAATTAATCCAAATTCCCTAGATTCTTGGATCTTCGATTTATTAAGATTCATTTTTATCAATCATTTAGATATGATAGAATAATTCTGAGATATTAGATTTCAATTTTGCATATATAGAATAAGAATTTAATCTAAATGAATTCTTTTGGATATCTGAATAGAAATATATCTTCAAACTATATTTCTTGATTAATATCTTTATATAATATTCTTATACTTGAATTTCATTGATAATCTATTTAGATATAAGATAAAACCCCTGAATTATTAGATTTCCAATTTGAATTATATATTTCAATTATATGAACTATATATATCTGATTATAATGAATACATCCAGACTTAAACGGATATTTAGATTATATCTATTCATTTAAATTATAAATTGCTCATGAAATTTAGATAGATTTTTTCCAAAAATTAATATATCAATAATAGATTCTATCAATATTAGAAATATTCATAATCATCTTTTCATTCTATTCTAATATAGAATAATTTTTTTCTAAGAGATATCTATATAAAGAGAAATCCTAGAAATATAGATCTTAAGAAGAAGATATGATCTTTTAATTTCAAAATCTAAAAAAAATAATCCAAAATCATCTATTATAGATATAAAATAATCATGAAATATTTTCATATCAAGATATATATTTGATCTATTTTATGATTCTATTCTATCTAAATTTATAAGATTTTGATAAGATATCTTCATATTCTATCTATATATATAATCTTGATTATGAATCTAAGATCTAATCTATATATATATTATAAAATCATAAGATATTGAATAGAAATTTCGTAATTCGAGATCCTGCAATTCATAAGAATTCGATTATCAAACGATCAGAATATATGCGAAAGATATATATGAATCGAGAAAATCATTGATCTTTCAAATCATTTTTTTCCATTCTCGATAGATCTTATCATATTATTTATTCAATGCATATATTCAATCTTAGATCTTCAAAATTATTATATAAGAGAAATTATCAATCAATTTCAAAAAATAGATAAATCTATTCATCAATTCAAATTCTTATGATATATCAATATCTATTTTAGAATTAAGAGATCATATTTCGTTTTTATATTATCCGAAATTTTCATATGATAATAATATTTAGAAGATTATATATATTCATATAATCCTTAAAATCCGAAGAAATCATTATTGAAATCAAAGATTCATTAACTAGATATATATCAGATAATCATATATAGATATAGAATAGAATTCATATAATGACGACATTATATTATTCCTCATATGAAATCATTCCTCGCGTGAAATCCCTATCCTGAATCTTGCCTGAGAAATCATCTCATCTTACTCTTTTTTTGTAATATATAAATATAGATACGATAATTGATTCCTGAAATTACTTTCATTATCTTTCTTAGAGAATGAAATCATAGAAATCGCAGAATAATATGCGAATCAATTCTTATATATTTAAAATCCTTTATATATGAAAAGAATCCTATTTTGCGATAATTATGAATATATCAATCTATTTAATAATAAATAGAAATGATCATTTAGATCTATCCTTGATATATATATATATAATTTTTCTATTTCTCGAGATTATTCATTTTCATCGATAGGCCCCCCCCCCCCAGATTTCAAATCAAATATAATAGTATATAATCATCTTCTCCCCATGATTGCTTTTGAATTGAATTCATGAGAAGAAGGAGAATGAGAAAATATCCTAATATTCAATTTAAATCAAAAAAATATTAAGCAAGAACGAATAATAAAGAACCATATCTTTTTATTGAAAATAGAAAATTATAGAATTAATTTGAAATGAAAGCTTCATTTTCTTAGACATATTTCTTTTCATTATAGAAATTCAATTCATAGATTAATCAGATGAATTCTATGCATTCATATAATTATAGAGGTTCAAGAATTTAGATGAAAGATGAATTATCTATCAATTTTCTGAAAATACAATATATCATCAAATCAACGATCAATATATTCTGAAATTTCAATTTTTTTCGTAGAATCTAATATCTAATTAGAAGAATTCTATGAAGAATATATAAAAATATATATAGAATATTATAATAATATATTATATGAATGAACATAGAATTCTCTAGAAACTATACTATAGAATATCTTATTCCTATAGATACATGCTATGAATCTTCATGAATAAAAGAAATATGAAATAAAGAAATCAAATTATTCCAGATTATTGAGAAATCTTCTATTCCAAGAAATCAAATCATTATATTTTTCTCGTAGAAAATTATAGAATAAATTAGTCTATTCAATCTATATATAAGCCAGAAGAGAAAACGGCCCTAGAGATCAATCAAAAAACACTCTTCAAGGAGGGGTACCGTCCCTATTCGATATATATGTATAGGTATATACATCATTATTGGAATTCAAATGATGGTAATCTATATCCCCACGGCAGCATATCATTTATCTTTAACGGCTCTCTTCCAAATCAATCCGGATGCGGTCCTTCAAAACCAAGTCTGACCTCCTCCAGTGCCTGATTTGCTGAAATTCTCTGGCTCTGAACGTCTGATATGGGATTCTTGCAAACGACTGAGCAAGTGCTGCTCCCAATGTACAGTCACTGTGAAAGAAGGCCTTAAGCCTACCCATGCTGCAGCACCTGGGGTTTTGCAGAAATCAGGGCTCCCTCTATGGGGTCCCCCCGATCAGGATTGTACTTTCTTGGAGTGTGTGCGGTGGGACCCATATTTTTGGAAATCTACATGGCCTTTTCATGATCTGTTGATGGATCCAAACTGGAGTCCCAATAATCTGAGGCCTTGTCTTCTTGTGATGAACCAACCAATTTTGGTGGTTGAGTCTGGACCAACAACCATTCCAGCTTCTACGTATGCTCTCGCAAACTACTTAAAACTGAATTTTCGGCGCGCTAGCAATCCCACGTTTGCGGAGAATGCTTCTACACGCAAGTTGACTTTTCTTTTTGCGGCTGGATCCAATAGGTCCCAGTCACAGCAAAAGATATAACTGTGTCTTTGTCAAAGGTAATCAGGCTGAAAGGCATGACCGAACAGGTGCTGAGACCTTCGTCTCATGCATGTCGGTCTGTCGGGCAGTGAAATAGGCACTTGGTTTCGACACCATGCACCAAGATGCTTACACCCATGTTCATTACCTTCAGCGTGCTGTGCCGCACGTCTCCATTGTCAGAATCAAAAGGCGCAACTAACCAGATCTTCATCTGTCCCAGTGTCTGCAGAGGGTAGATTGATCTTGATAGTCTTGTTTGGCATTTCTTGGTCTTCCTCCGCCTGCTGCGTCTGCGACTGGCCCAAGGTCATGCGATCACGCGAGGCGCACGGAACTTGGTATCTCTGAGCAAGAACAGCGACTGAAAGTAAAGAAAAGGGAAGCAGTGGAAGCAAGCTGGGGGTCATTGTGGCTGCCCTAGTAAATTCCACGAAACATGCTGGCCCAAGACCAAGTAAAGTCAATGGAATAACCAAGAGGAACGAAATCAATATGCCCCTTCCTTGACAACAGCACTTGTCCATGCGGAGGCCGAGCAGACACAGCCACCAATAGACGTGCAAATACCAAAGGATGCCAAGAGGAAAAACAGCCCAGTGCATGCAACAGCGGATCCACCAAACCAGGAGCTCATAGCCTTGAAAGGAGTGTTTGTTCTCGATATAGGCCGGCAACCAAAAGATGAAACTTGGAAGGCTGGCGGCCCAAACCATGGCTGAAAAGTATGACATGCATGTCTGCCCGGTACCGACTGAATCCAGCACTATTGGCAGAAGCTCCTGCTGCGCTGTCTGGTTGAACTTTTCCAACTGAGATTCGTCAGTTGCATCTTGTGTCTTCCCCTGAGGAGAAGAGAGTTCTTGAAAATACCACCTCTTCACAGTTTTCAAGATCAACTCTCGATCACAGGGCAGTGGTGCTTTAGTTTGCGGATGGATATGGCCCACGGAGCAGCAAAAACATTTGCAGCTCTGGATTCGGAAGGCCCTAACTTGATCTTCAAGTTCTTTGATGCTCCTCGCGATGCCAATGCCGGCATACAAGCAAACAAGAGCAGGAAGTGTGACGGTAATGACACAGGGTTGCAATCGTTAGCATTTCTGCGATCCGCTGGCTTTGCCCAGTAGCTCTATTTGCAAGCATCGCTGAAGAAAAAAGATAGACGAAAGAGGTGCACTGTGTTGAGCAAAACATACTGAAGAATAGGACTGCCAGCTTGGTGGGCATGATCTCAATTGACTTTCGGGTGGAATGCCGGAGAAACGTTGCCAGTTCATAGCAGCACCAAAGTCGCGAAAAATAACGCGCACTCCACAGAATTGTAAGCTTCTTGGAGCGGTCTAAGAAGGCAGCCAAGCCTAAGATGCCCTTTTGCTTCAACACGGCGTCATCTTGTGAAATGCAAAGCTTGTCCAAAAAGACCATCTTCGGCTTCGATATCATCGCGAAGATTCGCTGTGCAAAGCACAGGAAGGTCCAGAAGCACAAGTAGCTGATTACAGGTAAGACCGCCTGGATCCGCGGTCCGAGAAAGTTGGATGCAGCAGCGGTGAGAATGCTGACGACCAGCGTAGCGCGAGCTGCAGGCTTGGTGTTGAAGAGGAGCATCATTGCAAGCAGCTTCTCCCAGCGCGAGGTCCCCCAGTCATGGCTTAAGAAATTGGAAAAAACTGGAGTGGCACTGCTCAAGCTATAGCTGTTTTGGCCTTGGCTGTTTTCAGAGTCCGTGCCAAGGCTACCACTGCCATTGTCTGCCCAATGTTTTCCCCAACCAGAAAGGGCCACATGCAGCGGGATGCCTCGAAGAAGCTCCGGCTCCAAGTCTTCCGTTAGGCCACCATGATCCATCGACTCCATCTCCACCATCGTCACAAGGAATGGCCCAAAGAAAAGCAAGCGTCTACATTCAACTTATTTCAACATCATACTTGCCACAAACATCCACATGTTGAATAGAGGCTCAGGGTAATTCTGAATTCTCACAGCAATTGGAGGCGCCAAAGCCCTGAGCAAGCAACTAAAAGCAACAGGCATGGCATAACACGTGTTTGTCGTCCCAGAGATGCAAAAAGGTACGAAGGGAAACTGCCGTTGGCGCAAAATGCGAACGATGTCGCTCAACAGTTGAGGCAGGCATCCAACACGACCCTTGTCTTCACATGCACGGAAATTCATGACGGCAAAACCAATACTACACTCCAGAGCTACGCCCAAGCCGTGAAAGGACTGTGCTGGCTCTGCAGGCCAAACACTTTGACATGTGTTCTCTACTTGCACTATCTTGCAGGTATTAGGGCAACATGCCATGCCAATTCTGTGAACATTACATTTCCGCCTGCCCAGCTGCTGACAGACTAACGTGCTTGCCTGTGCTTCTTTTTCTTCAGCTCGATTACCGGAGGAAGCTTGCAGGCCGCATCTATGATCTTTTCTGAGAGCACCTCGCAGGCTGAGGTCTCAGCCTGCTTGGCACTGGGCTCCATTCATTCACCACTTTCAGACAAGCACGCGGAGGATTGCAAAGTAGCCCGGCGGAACGCAAGTCTGCCCCATGGTGCTCCCACTTCAACTTGAAGCCTTCCTTCGGGAGAGCATTGTATGCAGATCAGGGTGTCATCATGCCAGTGGTAGTAGCACTAGTCATAATCAGAATGGTGCACCATTCCCTGGTCAAGCCTGCCGCTAAATTCAGCACGCGGAAACGGAAAGGAGCTTGAACTTCTTCTCCTCTTCACATGTACAGCGAACAGCAGCATCCCGCACACGTGATGTGTTGGCATTCAGGGTGGCAGAGTTGGCCAGGGAGACCTTTGTGGACCACAGGCCATCTAGTTGAAGGGGCTCCGAAACCACCTTGCCGGACATGTCTTCAACCTGGCACCAGATAGAGCCGATATTCTGGTAGGTGGACAGGAACCTCAGCTTTTTGGTCGGGTTATTTCAAACACGTGTGTCCTCTGTCGAATGGGAACTTTCTATGCCTACTATACAGCAAAACCAGCTGTAAATGTGGCCTCGCAACTCCATGATGACCAAACCCAAGTTGAGCTTCACTATGAAAACAATCTCCTTTGGCCCCAGCCCATCATACTGGGGGTATCGCGATGCAGGTCGCGGTGCCTTCACGCGCCCCGGCAGATTGGAATCTGTCCGACCTATCCCATGTTAGGAAAGGCAAATCAAGGAACTTTAATGCAACCCTTTGTATAGAAAGCACGTAGGATCCCCAGCCCAAACAAAGCAAAAAACTCTGCTCATAGAGATTCAGTGACCTGCTTCATCAACATAATTCGCAATCCAGCCAAACTTGCCTGGCCGATCAGCACCAAAACTCCATTTGGAGTTGTTTGCAACAATGGCAAGGAAATTCATGTGACCAGAGTAGGCCAAATAGGTAATGAGGCTCATCTTGCACTTGTCCTCCAAGGAGAAATGCTGATCTTTCAGCTGCATTTTCAGCTCTGCCTCACTTGCTAGAGCTGCTTGCATTGTGGCAGCGAAGCCTTTTATGCAGGCTAGCTGCAGAAGCTGGAGCAGAAAAAGATAAATCGCCTGGGCCTGGATGAAGTGGACCCCGCAGCCATAATGGTGATTTCCCTCTCCCTTGTAGGTAAAGAGGAAAGGTATGCCGTTCTGGCTGCTCGAGCGGTGCCCCAGATGAGGCAGGGCGCAGGCGATATCCGGATAGCTCAGCATTGGGATGCTGAGGCTTCTCAGAACCGGAAAAAACGGGTCGAATTCCTCCATGGCATTGGAGTAAGTGCACGCATCCAGATTCTCCCACGGGACTTCCTCCATGGAGATCATGACTCTTTGAGTAAAAGTCTCAAGGAATAGAATGGCCGGAGGCCGCTTCCAGTTTTGCACATGCGCGTTCATTACGAAGAGCTGGTGCCGGTTGTTTTCCACATCAATGCCAGTGACTGCGTAATCACAGAGGATCACATCCAGAGTGGTGTCCTTCTCGTACTCTCTTAGAATAGAGCTCCACGTGAATTTGAACGGTGTAGCTGCTCTTGCCCCCTTGATGACATCCAATTGCAGCTGGCTGTTCTCCAGCTTTGATAACTTCTGCAATGCTGAAGTCCAATACATATCACTGCGTTTGTTGCATCCGTTACCAACAGTATTTGAGGGACCCATGGTGAGAACCCGTAGAGGTCGGTTTTCTTGGATAGCTTCAATCAGACGCATTTGAAGCCTTGCCAGGTTGGGGTGATAGCTCTTGTCCGCAGATCGTGTGGCCACCTCCAAGAACAGAGACGCGTTGTTGCTCATTTTGGAAGCATTGAAAAGCTCGCAGGTCTCGTCCTTCACCTTCCACGCATTACAGGCCACGTCCCATCCCCAACGGAAAGCCGAGGAAAGCTCGGGGCAGCTGGAGATTGGTCTTCCAGGAGATGTAGCTTCTGCTTCTGGACTTGGGCCGGGGGTAGCCAGGGGAGCTTCTTCCGGAGGTAAGCCTGCTGACCCACTGCTAGTCCCTATAGGAATACTCTCCTGGATGTACGGGCCATCCCTAACAAAGCTATAGCTTACCTGCTTCAAGCGATCGCGTTGTGAAGACAACCACTGTGCGTACTGTCCTTGCGTAAGCAAGTAGACCGTTGTGGCACCGACAAGGAAACCAGCACCGAACCATTTCCAGCTCATGCCTCTACATGCCGTCGAACCTGCATGCCATGGCAACTCTTTGGGCCAGGCGTTTTTGCAAGGACCTAAGCGCTTTTTCTCTTGGTGCCAGCACTACGCAGAAAGTCTGTTAATGATTGGGATGATGTGGATGTATCCCTATGCGCTGGAAGAGGCACTGTCTGCGCACACAAGTCGGGCGATTGGTGTGGATCGTGCAGCAAACGCATGAGTATTAGAGTAGATTGCAATACGACCGCAGTTCTTGAGCCATGAGGGTTCTGTAAGTCGCAGGTCCAAGCAGGCAGCAGAATTTCTGGCACGGAGCATAGCTTCAACTTCACATCTAACTGCTTTGCCAAGTCGAACCTGCTCCTGACGCGGTGTACTGCTAAAGCTTACCTGCCGGAAACTTTTTCAGACTCATGCTGTCGGCTTGGTCTGCTCTTGACTCGGAAATACCGTCAGCAGCCGATGTGGCCGCACCTGGCAAGACAAGTCCTGCTTAAATGCCGCAGAGGCTGCTAGATGCTGCCAGATTACGGAAAGCTTACGAAATGGCAGCTCTACACTTGAAAGACAAGATTGGGTTTGCACTGTAGCGCCGTTGCTCCCAAAGAAGCGCACTCATCCCGTCGAATGCGCTTGCACGTTTGTACATCTAATCGCATCGGGAGATCGGAGCTTTATGCAGTTAAACAATTGAGGGCGCAGCTCTCAGTATCTGGTGCGCCGTCGCCTTGCTGGCCGCGCTTGCCGGGCAGAGTCCCTGAAGAATCTGTGCGAATCCGGTCGGAAGCGGATTTTCACACCATCCGAGTCTGTGTCCAAGTTGCGCTCGAAGCGTTTGAGCGCACTGAAGTCGCCCTGCCAACGCACTCGAACCTTGACCTGACCTTTCGTGTACTGTTGGAACAACTTCAGCGCATAGAGCCGGCGGTTATCAGCTGACCACAGTACTGGCCGGCCCCGACTGTCCTTCTTCCTGAAGACATCCAAAATGAGGAAGTCGGCCTTCCTGGGGTCGACCTTCCCAGCGTGCAAGTCCTGCACCAGGTCTAGGCATTTCCTGCCACATCTGAAGAAAGCACCGCAGGTGCGCTGGGAGTAGCGAAGCTCCGAGACAGGGACCTCACAGACAGGGACCTCACGGATCAGGTTCCAGCCATTTCTTCCTTGCGTTGCTTCACTCTCAGGCTCCTTGACAGGTTTATTCGGAGGCTCTTCCGGCTCGTTGGGCTTGCGCTTGTCAGGCTGCGCAGGCTGCTGTCGCTTCCTTCGCTTCACTCGCTTCCTTGCGGCCTTCGTTGCGGCCTTGCATGATTTGCTTCCTGGCCATAAACGGCCATAGAGCTTTAGGAAGCTTTTCAGGGCCTTGACTGGCTCGACTGTCTTGGGCGTCAGCCAGAGGCGAGAGATCAGGTCAAGCATGTCGTCGTGGGAGGGCTCAGACAACTCCGATTTGACCTCTGACTTGCTGGTATCCTCGGTAAACGCGCTGAGTGCGGGTTGCGACTCCCCTGCTTCTGTGCTCCCGCAATCAACATCGAGGTCTGCAGGCTTCTCCTCATCCTCGACATACTTCCGCTTTCGAGACCCATTGCAAAGATGGCAGTATTCACATGACTTACCTTGGTCAACAGCTTCTTAGCGCTAGCAAGAACTCCAGTGCTTGTTTCAAGTCGGGCTAATTCAGGCGGGCCAAGTCTTTAAGCACAGCCTTGCATAACAATGCTGAGGCTACCTCGTCTGCAGCCGACGTGGAGGTAACGGCAGGGCCGGCATGAGCCTCTGTAATGCCAGGTTGAGCCCACGCTGGGGAGCTCCTTGCTTCCCAGCCGCAGTACCCAGGCCTCTGTTAGACCCTGAATGCTAGAGACACCTTGGCTCATTGCACAAACGCATGCAAACGCAAACGCTTCACTGATCCAGTGCGGCCGCAGACACCTCCATGCGATTGCGAGTCGTTGGCCTTTCCAGACTTTCACAGCAAGACGGCTCTCATCAGTATACTATGGTATACTGAAGCTGCCCCTATCTGTCTGCCACAATCTTCTACACGATGGCATTTTTTTCAGATGGAGGCCTCCGCAGAAGTCTGCAAATTCTCGTCCTCAACGACCTTGCTGGAACCGACAGTCTATGTGTGGTCTGCTGGGGCCCTTTGCAAATTGAAATTGAGACATGGCTACACTCCGAAAAAGGAGCACGTCCCTGCCACCAGGGGGCAGCTGACACCTGACCGGATGGCGAGTCCTCTGCCTTTCTCTCTCTGCTTCCTTCAGCACTGTCTTTTGCAGGCCTTTGTTCCAACACATGAAACCCAAACCCACATGCAAAAGCAGTACCATGCGCAAGTCGAAAGCGTGCTCTCACTGGTGCATAGGGTGACATGCAAGCACTACCCTAGCTTCCGAGCCAAGGAGCTCATGCGGCAGCTCCTGTGCAAAGGTACAACTGAATACTAGCTCAGCGGTCATGGCAAACCTCCTCAAGTCTTGGGAATATCTGATCCTGCTTCTGGCTCATTCAAGTGAAACTTCCTGGCAGGTAGGCCTTCGCATCAGGACCAGCGTCCGCAGAGATGACCCTCTCGCTGTCAAGCTTTGCAGAGCCTGCGGCATGCTCATGGCAGCGTGCAAGAACTAATAGTGTTGCAAACCCAATTGGTGCAAGCCACCTGTTTGAGGATGTGGCTCCATCCAAACCAATTTTTGCAGCTCCTCTGCGCGACTTGCCGGAAGCACATGCGTCTCGCCGGCATGCTCGAAGAGAAGAGTGCTCCTGATTGGTCACATGAGAGCCTCTGCCTAGCAAATCGTGAGCGCACACATCTGAAACAAGTCTTGGCTGAGGCTCTCTTTCACGATGGCCAGCGCAAGTTTCGCCTCCTGTGGATACCAAAGCACACAAGTTGACGTTTCCTGGCAGACCTGCAGCAGGAAGGGGTGTTCAACGCCGTGCTCTTCAAGCTGTCGCAGCACGTGTCGCTCTTGCACTCCCACGGGCAGGTTGGTGAGCAACACCTTCTGGCAAACTTGCGTCTTGATGGTGTAATGAGGGTGGGGCACCACCTGGATTCCCTGTTCACAGCGGCTTGGTAGGAAGTCTGGAAGTTTGGGTGCCTTCAGAACTTCTATCTCTGGCGCCTGGAGCCTGGAAGGTCGTGGCGGAGACAAGGCCAGCGAGGCCTTTGGTCGCCTGGGCGGTGTTGGCGGCTCGGGGACAGGTTGCCTTGGAGGTATAGCCGGCTCGGGGACCCGGCGTCGAGGAGGAATCGGTGGCTCGGGGACTTTGCTGGGCCTCGCGCTCGTGGACTCCTTTGGCTTGGGAGCTCTTGCTTTGCTGGCCAGAGGAAGGATCTCGGGTGGCCAGCTGCTCGGCCGGCCGGGCAGGAGCAACCTCAGTATTTGATGGGCTGTGAACATCCGCCTGAGCTGGACGGTCAGAAGTCTCCCTCATTCTCTCATTACCTCACTTCATGGGATGCTAGCCAGATCAAGCCCGCAGGCTGCCGCATTTGGGGCCTGGAGCTAGATGGAAATCTTTTGTTGACCTTCTGCTGCTGAATTTTAGTGAAATTTGCTTTTTGGGGCCGAATGATGCTGACTGTTCATAAGGGTCGCTCGCATTGTGGAACTGCTCTGCGCTACGGAACATGCTGAGATTGTCGCAGCTGCGCTTTCGAGCACTGTCTCTCAAGGCCCCTGAAGAGATTTCACTGCAACATATTATAGAAGCTGTGCCGACCGTGGGCAGAGGAGCCATAGCCAAGACTGCTTCATGGCACTCTCCGCTCTCCCACCTTCGCACCCCCGCACTAAAGACAGCGGATGAAATTGACCACATGAGGCCAACTCATCTTCTGTCAGATCGACAGAGGCCAAAGCGAATGCCAAGGAGCTTAGGCCGACAATGTGCAGGTGCCTTGGGAGGAGATACCACCATAGCCAGCTCTTCAGGCTGTCCAATGAAGTTATGCTAACAAACAGATGCGCCCCGTGATCTACACGGCCTCCCAACAAAGTAAGAAGGCCACTATGAATTGGGTACGTGTTCAGCTGCATATGTACATGTAGAATGGCCTGCTTGCATCATACGGTAAAGGCCCTGCTGGAAGCCTAAGGCCTTCGGATGGAAGACAAGCTCACAATCAAACACGCGCAGTTCAATGCATGAATTAAGGCCTGTCACGGACTGACCGCTCGAGCAAACCCCAAACTTTTCTACAGGCTAAGCGAAGTCACCGACTAGCGCTGACTCTCACCAAGGAGCGAATGTGGTGCAGATACTACAATTGCAGAAAGATGCCTGAAAGCTGGACTGACACAAACAATTCCTCAATCGAAGCTCATGCTGCAGCGGCATTTCGTTATTGCCTAGGAACATTGCGCCTGGAAACTGCTCTATCTGCATATCAAAATACCTCCTTGACAGAAACAATTCTTGAAGCGCTGGAACGGCAAACAACAATCAACCTGTAATGCACCTTTATCTTCAAGTGCAAGGCCCACAAGCTCTTTGCCTATTCTTGCCTTTGCAAGCTGTAAAGGTTGGTCTACCTAGCTGGCCTGCGACCAGGCACTTACGCTGAGAAAACAAGGCAGGCATTAATTATCGTTTTAAAAACCACGAACGTGTGTTTTTATCGCAATCCAAACAACGAAAGTGTGGTTCTATCGCGATAAAAACAACGAAAGTGGGATTTTATCGCGATAAAAAAACACTTTCGTTGCTTCCTAAACGAGATTATGAGATGGGGTGCCCGCTTGCGACCACAATTGGATCTAAGGCTGCCAGTGTCAGCTGGTAAACGCAAGCCGCCCCATGTGATACCGGTTGCTCTTGGGAACTCGCAACGAAAGAGAAGCCACGCCTGAGACCAAAACGCCTACAATAAATGTACGCAAGAATGCTGGCAAACTTTGCTCACGAAAAAACCGCCTGGACAGAAACAATCTTTGAAGCACTCGGACTGCAAACAGCAATCAAACATGCAATGCACTTCAATCTTCAAGTCCACCGCCTACAAGCTCTTCGCGAATGTCGGCGCTGGAGGGATTAAGGTCCGCGGCCACTCGCCTCACTTGACCCACTCACAATGTGGCCCCTTCAACTGCTGCTCGGGAGGCTCCAAAAAAGCCACTCGAGGGCCCAAAACGAAACCTTGCCCAACTTGACCCACTTGCTCCGCTTGCGCCACTTCTCAATGTGGATACTCGAGGGCACCAAGACGAGACCCTGCCCCATTTGCCCTACTTTGCCCCACTTCCTCTTCTTACAACGTGGCCCCTTCAACCCAAAAAAGCCATAAAAACAACGAAAATGTGTTTTTATCGCGATAAAAAACACTTTCGTTGCTTCCTAAACGAGATTATGAGATGGGGTGCCCGCTTGCGACCACAAGTGGATCTAATGCTGCCAGTGCCAGCTGGTAAACGCAAGCCGCCCCATGTGATACCGGTTGCTCATTGGGAACTCGCAACGAAAGAGAAGCCGCCTGAGACCAAAACGCCTACAATAAATGCACGCAAGAATGCTGGCAAACTTTGCTCACGAAAAAACCGCCTGGACAGAAACAATCTTTGAAGCACTCGGACTGCAAACAGCAATCAAACATGTAATGCACTTCAATCTTCAAGTCCACCGCCTACAAACTCTTTGGCTTTTCTCGCCTTTGCCATCCGTTCAGGTTGGTCTACCCGGTCTACCTAGCTGGCTCGGCGGCCAGCCACCTACTGCTAGGCCTCAGCAAGGCATGTTCTCGCACCTGCATGCTTGGCGTCGGTGGAATGCTTGGGCCAGCAAAGGTCAGAGTGTGCGTGCAACTGAGGACGCTGCCATCCACATGGGATTTTCAAATCCATGTCAGGCCGTAGGGATCCGCACTTCTTGTAAAAGGCGCACAGCGTGGCATAGATACTATGGCAGCGGCGTGGACTTCCATGGCATCCCTTGGAGAACACATAAGCTGGACAGTGCAACGTGCTCATGACATGAAAGGAAGCTTTGACAACAGCTTTCTTGCACCACGTGTCGACTGGAATGGTGGCACCCGTGTTATGGTCAATTCGCGATACGATATCGTGGCGCGGCCTGACCTGGCACTCAGTCAAGAGAACAACTCTTGGTGCAGCTTGCCAAGGTTTCAACGTCTAGTCTAGTCTAGGCCGTTCAATGGCTTTAACTAGAAAGTGCCCGCAGCCGAATTTTCCTGGTGGGTCGATTCTTGGGAAAGCATCTGGCGGGACTTGCGAAGTTGCAGTATCACGTGTCCACTTTGCCAGCTGACAGCTGCTACGAGATGCATCTAAAGTGGAGGGAAGTGGCAACAATGACATCAATGTCCGGCCGTAGCCAGTGAAAACATAGGCCTATAAATCAGCTAGCACAGCGACAACGGTCTATCATGAACAGATCCCCTTTTTTTACTACCAGGATGGACAATACTTTGTCAAGTCGGCGGTGACCGAGGTGTAGCGGTTGGTTGACCTCTTGTCCTCGCCAAACAGCAGGGCTTCAGCGACTCCAATGCCTTCGGAGAGCGTAGGGTTTAGGATTCTTACTCTGGGGCTAAGAGCAGCAAGGTTTTTGCAAGGAAACCTTCCCTCACCCTCCGTTACCTTCATCACACAACTCCAGGAAAGCCTAGGCCGGAGGGAAGGTCGAGCTTAAACTGCTGGCAGCTTCCGTTCTGACAATCCAAGCCGCAATCCGAAACTCTGCTTCCGTGCTTTGGCCGTCTACGAGAACCATAAGTACAAATGTTTTGATCGTTGGTACTGCTATTGCTGTCTTGTTGTAGGTCTTCTCATCCCAGAGATGCTGTGACCACATCTTGCTGCCAATCATGTGTCACAAGCTACCAGCTTCCGTTGCTCTTAGGATTTCACCCTTCGCCTGGTGCCGCAAAGGCCACGGCCGTCAGCTCCACGTGGCGACCTGTTTTTCAAGCGACCACTTAAGGTACCCCATACTAATTGCAAATTATCCTCCAGGCCAAAAGCCTTCACACATACTTCCCGTCTCCATGCTGATACCTAGCACTGCACGTCACCAATGCTGGCTTCCTCGACCCCATTCCTCATGCTCTGCCTTGCGTTCAATCATGATAGCCTTCGGGAGGAGCTGCCCAAATCCTAAACTTCCTTGGGCTTAACATAGAGCGGCTATTGGGCATTTGGCCATGTCATCCATCTTATCCAACGCCCCGGCACCGTGACACCGTGCTCTCGCCTGCATGTTGCAGCTCCTCCCTTTGGATTTCGGCGGCTACGAGCTTTGCGATGCCACCGCCAAGGGAATGCCTCATGCCAAAGTCCCGGCCCGGGGGGTTTTGGGCAGTTTGGGATGTTTCCCTGATTCCTTGGGAGGAGCAGAATTTTGGTAGACTGTACAGACGCCAAGGCCTCAACAGGTGCAGCACTGAATCACACAAGCAAAACACAGCTAATTTCAGCCGAAAGTCTCAACACTCGTGAGTCAACACCACCCTCGCATACCCTCGCTCACGAGCTCGTCAGAGCGTTCGGGGCTGCATTCTCTCTCTCGACTTGCCAAACCAGCCGCTCATGGACCCACTGCCGGCCCCCCGCCCCAATTTGCCCATGAAGAGATTAGAATTAAAACTCTTTGGCTCCAAAACTGCTACCCAAGGACGTAACGTTTCTAAGGGCTCTGTTTTCGTTGTGTGACTGAATGCGTGTCCGTGTCTGAGATTTTGGGCATTTTTTGAATGATCTTGCCTGTGGGGGTTTGGAACATCGCCCAGAGGACACAGAACACCTCGCGAATACCGCGCCTTCGTAGACAACACTTCCCAAGCAAGAAACAGTGGTGGCACCGAACTTCTGTTCTGACATGCACGCGAAAGCCTTCATCGTCTCCCAGCGGTACTACTCGTAGCACCATCAGAACCATGATGGCGACGGAGCAGTCGATGGCGGGGGCAGGCGCGGTGGCTGCGGCGGCAGCGGGGTGGTGGCGGTGGCGGTGGCGGTGGCGGTGGCGGCGGCGGCGGCGGTGGTGGTGGGGGTGGTGGTGGTGGTGGTGATGGTGGTGGGGCAGGGGCGGTAGTGGTGCTGGTGGCGCGGTGGCAGTGGCGGTGGTGCTGCTGCAAGAGCGGGATAGCAAAAAGGAACTTGGCGGTTTGAACATTTCGAACCCTCACAGCAATGCATGTTCCTGTTTATCCTGTTTGTCGTCGACGTATCTTTGGCACCTATAGTCAATTTCGCTGATACAGCCGCAAGCGCAAGAACGATATTCTGTCAGCAATGCGAGCAAGAGTTAACATGTTTCTTGCAACCAAGCACCCCGTGATGTAGAAATTCCGGTCCGGGTGCGCCTTCATTCCTTGTAACTGGCAGAGGTAAAGACCGGTTGCTGACGCTTTGATGCTAAGCAGTCTTAGTGACTGCGCTTGCTATCAATCTCAGTGGCAGCTGCTCTGCATCCCAGCTTCGAGCTTGCACCATCTCCAATAAGTGTATAAAGGTGAGCGTGAACCGGGCGTCCTGCACATTGTTCGCTGTGCGATGCTGTGCGCGTGCCTTCTGCTTTCATCTGCTTTCAATGCTTCCGTGCCTGCAGCATGTAGACTTGACGACACATCCAAGCAATGGCGGGGCCCCAAAGTTTCACAACCTCACAGGCGGCTCGCTGGATCTCTCAGGAAGGATTAATTAAGCGCCCTCATGCAATTGTGCAGGTCTGCCGAGTCACGTTGGGGCCAAGGTTTTCGAAAATGTACATCATGAAAACAGGCAACCACAGATCCATGTCTTGCAAGGCATCAAAGAAGTCGGTGGTGCCACGAACTGCAAAGACTGCTGTACCTGAGCCAGAACTAGTGACCTTCGAGGTGCCAACATAACCCATTATGCATTAAACTGGGCCCCAAACATACTACACTCATGAGTTTGAATACTTTCGGAAGCCTTCAGAAAGATCGGAATTTCGACACCACCCGGTATGCAGTCTTGGCACTGTTGTCTGCGGATGCGAATTCAAAGAATGTGGTGACGTCGTGATGCGCTCCTCGCACATCCAGCGGAAGGTGCGCCTTGTCTCACATTTCTCACCCAGGAGGAAGCGCACCACACAAACAGTTACAAAGCTTGAGCTTATACTGCGCAAGACCCGGCCTGAGATGCAGGGCGCCTCTTCGCATTAAGCACAAGTTTCTAATCCTGGTTGGACTATAACTTGATGCAGCCCCAGTCTCATAGGCCACGCGCCAGCCGGGAAAGTATTGCGTTAAGAGGCCCTGCACGTCTTGAGCGGGCTCCTTGCTGCGTTGCTGAGCTGGCAGAACCAAAATTGTTGCTGCGAACGAGCCAAGGGACGTATGTGAAAGCCGACATTAAGCCGAAATCTGCCTGAAGCAGTGCTCTTTGCTACTTGTGAATGCACCATTTGCTGACAAAGCTGAGGTGCTAGGTTGAGCATGGATGACCCATGAATTGGGAAATCCATTTGACATATAGGCCAGCGTCCCCCAAGAGCACCCCGATAATCGATTGGATAGTAGACCTTTTGGTTGACATCAGGAATGACAAAGGCATGCATCTGATCTCTTCATGATCCCAAAAGCTTGGAAAGCTGTGCGCATCATTTTAGAGCGCATCTTGCCCCATCTGCAGCAGCCACGGTACACAATTTGGAGCTCCCTCCAAGCAGAACATAGATTCCGTAGCAAACTTGCGTTCCGACGCCATACAGTTGCAGATGACGCAGACCAACGACAAATGAAAGCCTTGGCTTCCACTACTCAGCATAACACAACACATGCCGAAGCAGCAAATCGCCCAGTGGCTACCCAGCGCAAACAGCGCCAAATACCTCAGGGAGCAAATTGCCAAGGTAGGCTGGATGGACAGCTGTGGTCCACCAAGGTTTATTACTGCTGCCAATGTTACCGCGCACGCTCTCCTGAGGCCAGCCGCTTCTGCAAACCAAACTCGCGTGGAATCAGAAGAATGCCCAATAGAGCCCCGTCTTGCCACGGATTCAGCAGCCTCGTGAGGACGAATCACGTGATTCTGCGGAAGTCCTGCACCCCACTTGCAGACGCGTGACGGGTTGTACCAAAGCACCAGAAGACCTGCCGGAACCAAAGCGAATGCGAGGAAGCGCTACTAGTTTGCGTCTCTACCAACTACCTGTTAATGTAGAAGGCGTAGTAGCACTTGTAAGGCTGAGGCCATGGGGTACCGCATCAATCCATACTTGATCAAAATTGTATACCAACATGTACCAACATGCTCATATTTCAAGACTGCCCAAGCCCAAGGCTATAAAGCTGCAAGCAGGCGGCAGAACAACGCTAGCATGAAGCTTTCGAGGATTCCACAGAGCCAGGACCACGGCTTCTGGATGAGCAGGGTAAGCTGGGCCACAAAGCATACCTTGTATTCTCCAAATAGTAAGCCTACCATGAGGCAACCTGGAATTAGAGGGAGATAAAAGGATGTATTGGGCATGGACCCTCTGGAAGAGACTGTTTCAAAAACCTTTTTCAAGGAGCATTACAGGCATGACGATGTATTATAGAGCAAGGCTTATTCTGTCTGCTCACACTTGTGGACCAGAAAGGCTTGAAGGGGAAAGCCCTGTGTCAATCCGCAAGGCGTGCAGAATTCAACGCAATACCTGAACTTCAACATGCCTAATGCTCACATGCTGCGAAGAGGATCAAGGAGCAGCACGACACGGACCACCACCAGTGCAAAGAACCAGCGAGCACCCCCATCAAGAACACCTTAGCAAGAATCTGGAGGTTAGTGGAGGTGTAAGAGCTTCAAAAGGCTGATGTTCTGGATTTGGGAGAGCGACCTGAGGTACACTTAGGCTTCTTCTGCTGACTGGCATCGCTCCGCATCCAACAAGAAACAGGAAGATTGCCAAGCGGCTATGATGCACAAAGGGGCTCGTGCTTTCAGCTGAGACATGTACTTCAATCCACCTCAGAACTGAGAGCAATCTGGCCTAAGGCAGCTCGTGCAGTACAAGATTCGTTCTGGCTCTTAGTAGGGGTAATGGAATATAATGAGACTGGTACGCCTACCATACTGAATATAACATATAATGTATGGGTTAGATAGGGATCATTTTCCGTTATTCCCGACTAAGAACCAGCAAAAAGATTGCAAGATATCGATTGGCCAAGCTGCAATAAACTTCCTGAGCGCAGTAGCAGAGGGGACTTGGGTGCTTTCCAAGCGCATGGACCCTGAGTACCACCGAGCTTGAGCTGAGGAACACCCCATTCTTCCAAATACCGCAGGCGGCTATTGGACTTGAACCATGACCATCTTGGGCGAATCACTGGTCTGCCTGCAAACATTGGATCTTGCACTGGTAGATCCTGAGTGCGCGCCGAGTCCCTGCCTATCTGGTACAGAATCAGGACCATGCAAACGGCTTCCAGCCCGATCACTGTCACGGCAGGCTTGCTTGCCACGAGCCCGTAGAGCGTGGCAGCAGTGGACATCAGCAAGGGATACACGCTGCACACATTATGGAATGCGACGCATACGGGCACACCTCGGAGGACAAGAAACCATCTGCATAACACCCCATGTCGCCACTCATGACTGTAGCACGGTGCATGAAGACTTGCGTCGCTTGCCGTGAAATGCAGCCAAAGCGACAAACGTCTAACGGCTTGTCGCCACCTACTGCGGCGAGCCTATCCTCAATGAGACCACTTATGATTTGTGCAAACGTGTACGAATACAATATTGGACTTGAGAAGCGTCTGCTGCAGCAAACTGTCCCAAGCGCGGCAATGCGTCTGCTCTCCTGACTAGATTCTCGTTGACAAGAACGTGGCCAGCGTTGCCCGGCTGCGCTGGGGCCTCAACACAAGTAGCCATCAAAACCGTCTCAGCTTATAACGTGCCTGGGCTTAGCTCTGTTTTCCTGAAGCGTTCGGCCCAAGACCTCCAATTTCACAAGTCTGAGCTTCCTGACTTGAAGGATCTGCTTAGGCGCAGTGTCTGTCACGTCAGCTTTCCACATATCAGCTTGATTGCACGTCCACTCCGCGACCCCTATCTATTGCATGCAAGATTGAGACTCGAGCGATGCGGCCGCAGCTGTCCTCGTCGTGACTTTCTTCATCGCTGCTGGATTCGCTGGGAATGTCTTCCGCCACGACCGTGCTTTCCAGCTGCCAACCGCCTGGAATTGTAGATGCAGGTGTATTCTCTCGCGTCAGGCCTAGGGTTGCGGAAGGACCAAACACACCCTGCGCGCACAAGCAAACTCGCAAACTGGATCACAAACTGGATTCAACTGGCTTCTGAAGCCCAGCGACGGCCAACGGCTAAGACTCGCGTTGCAGTTCCGAGGCGAGACACACGGACAACTCTGTTGTTCCAGGCAGCGCGAAAGGCTGTAATCTTCAGCGCAGTGCTACCTGGATAGAAGGGCGCAGCTTGCAACCTCAAGGCTTAAACAAAACCTGACAGCACCGATGCAGCCAACCCACCGACCATCCAAGCCATGAGGAAAAGCCAAACGTGCACGCAGGCCAGGACCAGAACAGTGCTGGCCAAACAATAGTGGATCCTCATTCGACAACGAAACAATAAATTTTATTACCCATGTTGCCTCCAAGCCATGTCATCTGAATGTAATCATCCAGCGCTCAGTCCTCCAAGTTGCGAAGTCCAAAGCCAGGGTAACACCTGGCAGGATGTCCATGGTTGCAAAGATGATCACTTGGAACGCCGCATCTGCGTACCTAAGCGGCGTTGTTTCAGCTACGCAGGCACTTCAAAATAAGCATCGGTAATATTAAAGACGGGAGCTTCTGCAAACAATTCATTCACGCCACTTTCGCATCTTACCAATCGGCTGGGGCCAGCCGCAAACGTAGAGAGTTCCGGCTTCAATTTCCTCGGCACACGCCATTCAAAAAACCATCCGTTTTGCTTTGCGTTTGTACTTCTTGTCCCCAAATCTCTAACAAATACGCCTACTATATACTTATACATTGCTATTTTGTATTCTTTTTCCTACTGTTGCTCTTCTTGTGAGGGGTGTTGGGGTTTCCTACTTTTTCGTGCATTGCAAAGCCGAAATCCCCACCATGTCTACGTTCCGTCCACTGGCGGAGAGCCAGGGATATTCGGAGTGCGGCTCACGGAACTCTCATCTTGTTAGGGATGCGCCAATCCATAGGTGTACAAATGGTATCCCTTTCCAAGATGCTCTCCCTCTAGTAAAGGCTTCCTCCCTTTGCTGTGTTCTTCTGTCGGCTATAGGGGACCCTTGCGGTTTCCGAGGCACATCGTCAAGCCGCACACAATTCCGTGATCCCACCCGGGACGAAGGACTGCCCAAACGAATGCCACATTAGACGTCCCAGGGCTAATCAACGATCCAACTCTCCGGTATGTGTGGCCTTGCTTGGGACTTCCTTCCTGCGCGACTGGGGCGTGAGAAAGACGTACTTGCACAGCGTCATGTTTTCGTAGTTCCATTAACAAGGCTTTGCTCTTTCTTCATTTCTGTCCTTTCTTCTTTCTTTCATGTGGATGTTGCATATGTTGCAAAGCCTCCTCTTTCTTCTTCTTCTGCGGGCTAAGCCCCCCCCTCATGGGGGAGCCAGGGTCCGACCCCGAGCCCTCGCACGTCTCCTAGGCTCGTCGGTACCGACGAGCCCAGGGATTACAACTGCAAGGTGGCTTCCCACGGTGCCCTCCTTCAAATGCCTTCTACTCCCACCTTGCATTTTGCAATCCCCTACCTCAAGCCGGCCACGCCTTCAAACTTCCCACCTGTGCTGTAGAGGAAAACCTTATCGAACCCATGCAAAACACCAGCCAGATGCATCCCACAATCCCCATTCCTCTCCCCCGGTGCTGTACTGGGTACGCTTGAAGGCCCTTGACCCGAGTGTCACCCCAATCACCTACCAAATGAGAAGGATAGCAACGCAGGCCGATGCACATTGAGGGAAATTCCGCTCCGTGACACTCGGCTCTCCTTTCGTGGCTTTGGTTCGCCGCAAACATCCTTATCTATTCCATTCCTTTAGGGTAAATATGTCAGCACATAACGACAGTCCGCCTCTTTCTCTCTCTCTCTCTCTCTCTCTCTCGCTTCCTTGCCCTTTTCTCTTCTTCTTCCCCATCTCTCTATCTCTCTCTCTCTCTTATTCCCAGCCCCAGCTTCGGCAAAGGAGGCGAAGGAGAGTGCTCTTCGGTAAGCCTCAAAAACGTCTTCGCCTGAGGAGAATGGGTAAGCATGGGTAGAAGGCGTAGAAGCTGCTGCAGCTGCCAGAGACTGACGCAAAGGTATGAAGAAAACACATGGATATCGGACAGCTTTTCTCCCTGCCAGCTGTGCAAGATTTACCACAAAGACCCAACACCAGGCGTAGAAAAGTTAACCTGTCAAACAACCTCGAAACGAGCTTCCAGACCAATCCTCAATGAATCTCCTTAGGTAGTCCTACTGGGGTCAGCATGAGATTGGGATTCTGGACTTGCACTTGTTGGGTGCTGCGGAGCAGCGGAAGGGCAGTTGTTGAGACTGTGCTGCTTCGCTTTGTGGGCTCTGGAGTGCAGTCCTCTAAAAGTATGTTAAGCCGTATCCAAGTGACGCCAGCTATCCAGGGCCAAAAGGTAACAGAATCGCAGCAGCTCACTCGCCAGGTTCACAAGGAGCCAGCTCTTGACAAATGTGGCGAGGAAATGAAGTTGGAAGGCCATGACGTCTGTGCATCCTCTGTACCTCCTGTACCAATCCACATGCCAGAAGAGGATGACCACAAGAACAGCGCATGCGAATGCGCAAGCGACAATTAACAGTAGGTAAGTGTGCCAGAAAGCGAGCACCTGATTTGTTGCTCTCCAGTGGGCAAGCCTTCGTCGTAGCTGTGTTTCGCTGCGTGCAGGCGGCCTTTGTGCAAGTCGTCTTGGATCCTCCGCGGGCTCTTCGTGCAGCTCAATGCATGGTTCCTCGGATCCGCTGGAATCCTCGCTCGCCTGCGACATTGGCTGTGCGCCCAAAGATCATCTTTCCATCTTTCCATGCGGTGGGCGTGCTACCTGAAGTGGGTACGATGTCAACGGGCTCAGAAGAGTAGCTGCGTTGTGATTCTGCTGCTTACGGCTGGAATTTTGGCAGCCGGTGCTTGCAAGAAGGACATAAAGTTGTATCAAAAAGGGCATGGATGGAATAGGCCTCTGCTCAATAGATTTTGGCTTTGAGCAAGAAACCAGGCATCAAGCTTCTGGTGACCGGTTTGGGGCACCACACAACTACCAACTCTCGCCCACCCAACCCCGAACTCAGGATGGAATCTATACGTATCTCATTTTGAGAGTGGGCGCTAAAAATGTTCACCTGCCCTAGTTGCTTAGCTTCAAGCATGTCGCCCCGTGCACTGCGGTAAGTTTGTGAATGATCGTGAATCATGCAAGGTTTCATCATGCAGGGTTTCAGGGTACCCTTAGCACGCCCCATGAGAAGTCGCATGTCGCTTGCGTGGAGCAAAGCGATTGATGAAGCCGTCGCCATGTTGTGAGCCCTTCTTGGCCACACTGTTCCACACTACGTGCAACCACCCTACAAACCCCGTACTCGCTGTGCTCTTACAGTAGCTGCATGACAGCAACACCTCAGTCGAATGTGCTCATTTTTCACACAGCTTTCATCCTGGCTCCGCAACTGTTTGCAAGGTTCTCGTCGGGCCCGCACGGCGCTGGGAACTTCTGCGTGATACAAACAATATCGGACTGCTAACAGTCCAGACAAACAGTGTGGCATCATTCCTCTTTGGATCTGATTCGGGACCGCTTCACCCGGATGCTGGTCTCACGCTCCAAATGCGCTGCCCCTGCGCTGCCCCTGCGCCCATTCACTAGAAAACATCACGGCGTGATCTTGCGCGTTTTGCCCCATCCTTCATGTGGGCGGTCCCTTTCGGCTACGTAAAGTCAGCAAACTTTGGAGACTGACCATGCTAGTGGCAACTTGGCAACCAGACGTATCAACAAAAGTCGGGAGACAGCAAGAGCCCTACATCTTCCATGAACCAAACCCAAGCAAGTCAGTCTCTGCGCTTTGATTGGGATACTACTGGTGTCGCCCTTGCATTACAGCTGGTGCATTTTCCCGGCCTTGCAAGGAACCGAACATTAAACATGAAATGAGGTCGAACTGAGATCAGGGTCATTCCGACATTCCAGCACTCTCCACCACGAGTGAATCCACGCAGGCGATGGTCCGGAGCCCCCCCCTGATGCCCAAGACAGATTGGAGTTCCTGGAAATTAATCATGGGTCCCCTGCGGTTGATGAACACTCACATGCAGTCGGCGGCCTTTCACTTGTGGTTCGCCTAGCCTAGCCTAGACGGTCTTGAACAGCATTCCACTCTGCACGCATCTTTGCAGGGTAGCCCCGCGGGATTCCATGAAAAACAACGGTCCAATCTACAAGGTGGACAGTGTCCGCAGACGAGAGCAGTGGCAAAGGGATTGAAACTCTGACTTGGGATGCTGGATTTGCCACGGCGAAACTTTCAAAGGCAGAGCAACTCGTTTCGCAGCTCCAACTTACAGTAAATTTCCGCTGACGGTCGGGAACTGACAAAGCCAACTTGCGAGCGATTGTCATGCAACTGCTCGGCTTAAACAGTCGTCAGTGGGCTTGGCAGGTCATCAAGGGCTGAAACATATGTTTGCATCCATCGGTGCGACTGACAAATTCTGAGCAGTACAAGCACAAGCCTCACGGGCCAACACATCTTCGGCTGGCATGAAAAGTGCACTGAAGGTGCGTGGCCAATACGACGAGTTTGCCCTGTTCAAACCGAGGCAACCAGAACATATCGAGTGGGCACAACGGAAATTGCACTCGACTGCTCCAGCAGGATCTGGAGCCAATTTCATTGGCCTCGGCGGCAAATTTGCCGTGTTCATACTAAGAATGGATGCAGCAGACATTGCCCTCGCTGCTGCCATGGCCCAGGGCTCTACCGATAGAGTCTGCTAGACTCCATTGCAAACAAGATCTAAACAAATGTGATGCTTGAGGCCTACTTAGGTTAGGGTCCCTCTAAGGCATCAAGCTGCCTGAACCACTCCGAAGCTCGAAAGGGTCAATTCCGGAAACTTGTATCTTTGGTTGTGGACTTACAACGCGCATCTGCAGACGTTACCACGGGCCTGCGGGAAAGCTGTGAAAACGCACAAGCTCCGCACTCTTCACGTCTGAAGCTGTCAACCCTCTGAGCGCCAAAGGCCTTAAGTTGAGGACGCGGCCACAGCTGTGGCGAGCTTTGGGAACACGATCCTTTGCTCAGAGGCGCAAACCATGCAAAAAAGCTCCAGGCTATAGGCAGCCAAAATGGCCCCAAGCAACAGCTTCCTTTTCGGTGTGGGAGGGTCCTCCGTCTTTAACAGCCAAACATTGTGGGCCAAACATCTTTGAGAGCGCGGGCCCGATTTCGTTCATGGGAGACTGTCTTCATAACTTCCTGAGAGTATACCTGATCCTTAAGGATCCTGGGGGTAATGTAATTCAAACAACGACGGGCCCCTAACTTGATCCCCCAATGCTTCCAAGTGACGTCAGAGCTGGTGGCGTTAAATCTGTAGGAACTGCAGAAAACAAATCCTGCCTTGATCAAATACCTAGTCTATTTCCTACGGCTGTAACGTACAAGACTTTCAGAACTTTTTGGCGTGTAGGGCTTGGATTCCCAAGCAGGATTTGTAATCTGCAGAATTCCTCGGGTCCTCCATCGATCCTGGCAACTATGAAGCAATGCTATCAAGCAAGGCTCCACGCATGGTGACCTTCCGCAAAAAGCTTAACTCTCCGGATTGAGGCTGGGAGGCTGCTGCTAGTACGACTTTGAGGACGAATCTCGCTCTAGCTAGGGTTCCCTTTTCAGGACCTCAACCTTCCAGGATTGTCTTCCATGATTACAGGGGCTCCCATATAGACATCGGAATGCTACAATCCATAGTCTAGGGACCCTCAGTCAGAAGGGCCAACATGGAGCCAGTCCCGGCCTTTGCTCCAGGTCTCAAGCTCCCACCTCAGGACTCCAGGCTGTATAAGTCTGCGAGGATAATATGAGCTATAGTCTAAACTCCTAGTATCTCCCTTAATAACCCCCATAATTGTTCCCTATATAATCCCCTTTAAGGAGTTTAGATTAAAGCTCATATAAGTTGAAGGGGCCATGGAAGCGTTAACACTAGAGGGTTTCAGGCGGCAAAACAGCCCGGCAAAGTCCGTGGCACGGCAGGGCGGCAACATGTGTGGCAAAACACATGGCCCAAATGGTTGAAATCAAGCTTCTGATGAAGTGTCTCCGGTCTATGCCAAATAGGTTAATGCTGGAGCTGGATCCTGCTAGGCTTTCAAGGGCATATTCCATGGCTAATTCCATTACCCAAACTGGGCATTATTCGTTTGTGCTGAAATATATATTATTTTTTGTCACATTGTTTCATGGACTTCATGTGAACATGTCAGCTGAATCTTTTCGGCATGCGCATCGCAAAGAACCCTTGCTCAGCAATATAGAATATACAATGTATTTTCTCCTTGTGCAACGCAACAGGAAAAATGATTTTCGACCCCCACGGAACCCCGACGGAGACCCCACGAAACCCCCACAGAACCCCGACGGAACCCCCACAGAACTTTCACGGAACCCCCACAGAACGCCCACGGAACCACCACGGAACCATCACGGAACCACCACGGGACATATTGTTTCCTTATAGATTTTAATATAAATATACACATATGTCTATATCTATATTAACATTTATAAGAAAACAATAAGTCCCGTGGTGGTTCCGTGGTGGTTCCGTCGGGGTTCCGTGGTGGTTCCGTGGCTCCGTGGTGGTTCCGTGGTGGTTCCGTGGGGGTTCAGTGGGGGGTTCCGTGGGCGTTCCGTGGGGGTTCCGTGGGCTTTCCGTCGGGGTTCCGTGGGGGTTCCGTGGGGTTCCGTGGCGGTTCCGTGGCGGTTCCGTGGCGGTTCCGTGGTGGTTTCGTGGTGGCTTTTCGCGGGGGTTCCGTGCAGGTTCCGTGGGGGTTGCGTGGGGGTTGCGTGGGGATTTCGTGGGGGTTCCGTGGGGGTTCCGTGGGGGTTTCGTGGGGGTTCCGTGGAGGTTCCGTCCGCGGGGCCTCTGTGGGATTCTGCCGGCGTTCCGTGGGGGTTCCGTGGGCTTCTGTTGCGAAGATGTCTGAGCAATCTTCGTGGTGATCTGTGAGCGGGCATGCGAATGACTCATGACTTGAGTCACGACTGGTCCGACTGGTAGTCTGGTATAGTGACATGGTCAAGTAGCCACGCGCGCATGCCCGAAAAATTCAGCTGACATGTTCACAAGAAATTATTGCCGCATGATTTGCCCTGCACTTTGCCGCATGATTTGCCGCCCAACCCCCCCTCAAATTTACGCCGCAAGGTTTGCCACACACGTTGCCGGGCGATTATCCCCCCAAATCCTCTTCCTTGCCGGGATTTCCAGGATCTAATGTTAACGCTTCCATGGCCGCATCAACATATAAGGACATGTAGGGATTGTATAAGGATATTTTGATGTTTCTATGGGGTGCATTGAGAATGAAATGGAAAAGAACATGGAACATCGGTTATTTGGTGGCTTGATGGTTTCTACCATGTTCTTCAGTGATGGGGAGCTCTGCTGATGACTCAACACAGCAGCCAGGAAAGGTCAATCATCAACAGGCTGAGTCCTAAACCCTTGAAGGCTACCTAGCGGACCGAGCTGACCTAGCATCTTGAACCCGACCTTTTAGTCAGAGCGGCTTCAGATGATCTTCAAAAACGACACCACTTGCCGGAAACAAGACCACTATATCCCCAGACTGCATTTTATTTTCCACTTGATTCTCCATTATTGGGCAAATTTGCCTATACCTGCTACAGTGTGCACAACCCCATTTATCCCTACGATAAAGGCGTGCACATATCCCCGTATCAAATCTTTGTTTTCAAACGCCTGAGCTCCTTGCTGCCTCGGCTGCCATGCACTCCTCATCCTCGAACCTCAAGTGTAGGCATGCATCATCAGGCTTTGGAATGTTTCGTCGTGCCCCACCCACTCCCACCCTCTTTTACGTACCCGTTGGTCGTCGCAGGCTGTTGTTACATGCCTTTGCCACGAATGCTTGGTACAAGACTGATTGTTGAGGGAGCCTGTTGGGCCGCAGAAGAAATTTGTCCCGGTAGTCGCCCTACATGACAATCTTTGGGCGAATGCTCCGGGCACACCGACATTGATTGACACTTAGCTCATCAGTGCCTTCCAGTACAAACGGCATCCTGACAAGTGACCGATGCATCAGAATGACGCTGCGTTGGATTTCCAGGAATCCATGGCGCATGCACGCCTACCTCAAGCGCAAAAAGCCTCGGATATCCATAGTAGCAGAGCTCGTGAGTTGCATCCCTCAAGAGCCCACGGTAAATTTGCAAGTGTGTAGATTAGGTAAACTACAACCCTGGCAGCAAGTCAAGCTCCGGGCTTGTCCTCTGAGAACTCTTCCGTCTGTGTCGAGATCAAGCGCTCGAGCAATGCCTAAGCTCTTCAGCTTCGCAAAGTATTGTTCCCGCCTTCTCTTTGACTGTTTATGTTTGGTGATCCACTATGACCCCAGCCCACTCTGGAGTGAGCTGCGTGCCGCCAAGAAAGTCTAGGATTCACCCTTCGAGCGCCCGGCTTCTTCGTTGAAAGACTCCGGCTGGAACCTGGGAGCTTGTAAAAGAAAAAAAAGTCGACTTGACGGGACTCATTTCCGGATCTGCCTCACGTTGCTTTGGTGCAAAGGTGGGGGATTTCTAGCAGCACTGAGGAAGGCTGCGCGTTGCCGACTTCGACTCCAGGCTCAAAACGCAAGCCAGAAAAATCTCCGCACTCTGCAAATTGAAAAGAATTGCATGCAAAGCCGGAATACGATTCGAGAGGGTTTTCCAGAGGGTTTCAACTGGTTTCAAAAGTGTTTTTGTGGGGTTACAAGGCGGTTCGCACGGTGACGCCCCAAACTCCTCAACCCGCTTTCACGGAGCCTGCCGCGACGCCCAAAGCTCCTCAACAATCTTCTGGGAGTGCACCATGACACCCAAAACTCCGCAGGGATCAGGGATCTTCAGGGGAGCCTTCAGGGGGCGCACCGTGATGCCCAAAACTCCTCAGATATTGTCAGGGAGCACACCGTGACGCCCAAAACTCCTCACAGGGATCTCCCAAAAATCTTCAGGGATCGTGACACCAATTTTTTTCAGGGATGGCACCTTGATGCCCAAGAGTTCTAAGACTTTCAGGGAGCGCACCGTAACGCCCAAAACCCTTCAGAGATCTTCAGATGACCAGAAACTCCTGAATTTTCTAGGGGATTTCCTGTGTGTTGCAGGGGGCTGACTAAGGGTTTTTTGAAGTCCACGAGTAGGGGGTTACGCAGTTTCCAGGAGGTCGGTTGGTTTCTATAGGGCTTTCCAGGCTTTTTCTAGTGAGGTTCTCAAGTGTTTCTAGGCGGTTTCTGGGGTTACAAGGGGATTCCTAGAACCCTCTAAACCCTCTAGGGTCTAGAGGTTACGAGGGGGTTACTGAACTTTTTTTATGGTTTCTCGGAAATTCCTAAGTGGTTCTAAAGGGGTACTGGAAGTGGTCTCTCTTTGGGGTAGGTCTTCGGGGGCTTCAAGTCTGCTGCTCCGTGCAAGCGCCTCTCTACTCTTCGCTTAGAATGCCCCCAGCGTTGTTGAGGGGCTTCCATTTCAGAGGAAGAACCATCGAAAGCATGAGCAGGATTCAGGGCATAGCAGTGCTACAACACATGATGGTATCAAAATGTGTCAGTATCAAATCTCGCCGAGCAGCCAATATCCAGCGAATGGATTCGAGCCAGCCCAGGTGGCACCCAAGTAGGTCTCGCGGCTCAAGGTATACTGTCAACAGAATGGCTTTTGTGCTGTGCAGTCTCCAGACCCGTAGACTAGATTCGATTTCTGGATTTGAGCTTTTGGTTGAAGTTGGCTTTCAAGCGGATGCCGTGCGATTCTGCCCTGCCTTAGCCTAACCAACCCAATGCCGCTGCAGGAAAAAACTGACAAAATCTGGACCACCCTTTCGCGCTGGCCTTGGACATAAGGTTGTTCATGCCGCTCAGGGCCTGCAGGTTTGCATACCTGGGTGCCAGGACTGGATCCAATCCAAATTCCGGGTCTGGATTTGGGGTTTTGGGGATTCAGGGTTGCTGAGGGCTTCCCAATGCAAAGGTGTCGAGGAAGTTCTGCAGGCTGCCAGGAAATAACTGTGAGATTACTGCGGGTGCTGCGTTTGCACCTTCAGTGAAGGATCCTCACTCTTTAGTCCAGAAGTCAACACCCGGCCCCAAGACAAGCCTTGGACCATAAAGATAACACCATGTCTTCCCCAGACCTGTGAATCCTGACATGCAGGCCCGAATTGGCCCCCCACTTCTGGCTCAGAGCTTGTCGCACGCGTCACTTTCACAGCGCTAAGCTTTAGCTGAGTGAAGCTCATAAGTCCCCCTTGAGACGGAACCAGGATTGGGGTCCCAGCGCCAGTGCTTGAGATGCCAGGGCTTGGGAGAACCTTGGACGTGATTTCTTACCCAGATGTATCTCTTGCTCAGGGATTTCCGTGCGTTCATACCCCTTCAAAATTCTTGGCCAGGGTTAGAGGCTTGCTTCAGTTGCTCAAGCTTTGATGCTTATCACCGTGGATGCTGATGCACAGGTTCTGAATTCAAAAGGTGTGTCCAAGGCTCAAGGCATGCAGAAGTCTTGTAGCGGAGCGTAGTTATTGAGCCGTTCTTACGGATATCGTACTGGCTGCTGCTATTATTGATCATACTGCAGGACTGATTTTCCTGCTCAGGCCGACCTCAGCTCGGGTCCCTGCGCAAGCACGTCCGGACTCAAGCCAGCGAGTTCTTCGAAGTCCGTGGACTGCGGCGTGTCCTCTCTAGCGTGCTTTTCCGGACTCGACACACTACTGCTCTTTCACATCACGCAGCGACAGTAATGCTAATCCGCATGAAAGAGAAGCCGCCCGCATAGCTGCCCCAATTTTATTTCCTGGAAATCTACCCGATATTGCTGGCAGCATTGGTTGCAAGCTTCACACCCCACTCCAAATGCAGCCCCCTGATTGCTAATCACATAGCAACATACCTTGTATGTGCAATGCCTATCCATCGACATACTTGCGAAAGGCTCACCAAATCCAAAACACCTCAGCCTGCAGCCAGGGAATGCAATGAAATTTCAAGCTCCCGCACGAAAAACCGGCAATGTCGCCGAATCGGAATCGTGCTAGTTTCCCTCCACTGCCAAATTTGACACGTGAACCCATACCCTGCCTCATACGGCCAGGACTTGGCGTTGGCCCGCAAGGCCGTACGGCTGGGGTGTTGCCTCAGTGCTGAAACTGAGCGTCTTGAAAGCTGCAAAGACGTACGGATTCTGAGGAATGCAGGGAGTTCATATAACCCCAATATAACCCCTATATACTATAGCAGTTTCCATTTTAGTTTCCATATCCCAATATTTCTGAGGAATGAGGGGAGTTTAGCATGACAGTAGGGCCAGAAGGCCAGCATCGTAGTTGGAGTTGCTGGCACTGGCAGTAGGGCTTCTTGTGCAGCAGCGACGCGGCTTTCACAGGTTGATGCATGCATGATGTTCATGATGGTGACTATCAGACCGGCCCTCTGCCCCCAAGTGCTGCCTCCCTGTCAACCAGCGATAAACTAGCTGTGGTTGTATCTGGCTGGGCTCGGTAACTTCTGCTGATCAACCTTGAGATCGGATGCTGGGACGATTTCTCGGCGAGCCCATTTCTCAATGAGCCATGCGAGTCCTTCAGTTTACTTACTCAACCTGCCATCCTGCAAAAGCCTATGCACCCCGATATCCCACCACAAGCCTTGTCCTACTCGTCCCCCCTCAATATTGAACACTTGTCGACTGTCTTCTGTTCTGCCCAGTGGCCCAATCAATCCCTTGGTCAGTGACGAACCTCGTGGGGTTGGGCACAATTTGCTCTCATTGCTAGCGAGACAGAGGGTTGTTGTACTCAACAGTTGAGGAAGAAAGCCATGCAAGTTACACAGCGCTTGTCGCCTTTGATTCTATCCTGATGCTATGGATAGCGCCGGTACTTGCACAGTAGCATTCGCTTTGTTAATGGAAAGACGCCTGCAGCCAGGGCGGCAACAGCAGCCGTAGGTGGCCTCAGAGATGTGCAGCACGCAGCCCCTGACTGCACCATAACAACTCCGATGGAAAACGCGGCTCATTACTTGCCATCAAAGTACAGGTTATTGTATATTGCATGCTCCTGACAGAGAAGTTTCAGTGGGTCCAGGATCCCCAGTTGCTAGCGCAGGGCTTGTGGAACTAGCGTGCAGCCTCATTGAGGCGATGAATCTGGCATGGTCTGGGTGGCCCAATGGACAGCATCCTGGAGGACGCCAGCACCCTGCTTGCGCATACCCTACACCAGATGCGGTCAGGGTCCGCAAGAGATTGTGGATTTTCCTACCAGCTCCCAAAACATTCTGACCTTACAAGCAAACAACATTACCTGCATTATGTGTACGATGGCGCCATTCCTGACCTGAACACCACCACAGCTTTGCACGTCCTTTTGAACTCTCCTCGCTGAAAGCTGAAATTCCTGAGGTGGCATGAGGTAGCTGCTCCAAGCCAGCTCCGGTGCTTGTCACCTGGCAACTGGCAAGGCCAACTTCAAGATAAGACATGAGCTCATGATGATCATCATTGTCACTCTCTCTCTTCCCTGAAATGCTTGAACTCTGAAAATCCTGCACGGCTGATCAAAGGCTTGAGGTCTTTACCCAACAGCAGTCCATAGCAGGCCATAAAGACATGTGTTGGGGAGTGCCATAATTCGATCAAAGGCTCAGAAGACTAAGCCAGGCCCCACGCGCAGGGGAGGTTTGAAATTGATGACATCAATAGCTTCAGCACTTCATATGCTTCATACAGCCACAAAGAATCGGAACACACACACGCACATGGACATCTCCCTGGCGGAGCTAAGTCGCCTTCATGGGCTCCGCCTTCTCGTAGGTTCCAGCCTTGGGTGGCACCTTGGACCATCGGATGGTTTGCTTGGCCCTCAAGAAAGGGAATTCAGCAATGGAAAGGCATATGGAAACTGCAATTTTCTATTTTTGTTGGACGGTAGTTCCATTAAACCTGCAAACCCTTGCTGAGGTGCCGGCATCTTGGGCCAGGGCATTCATTGCGGCTTTCTTGACGTCGCGGAGTTCTTCAAGACCATGCGCCTGGGAGCAAGCTCGGGCTTGCTTAGCCTCTGAGGCGGACGCTAGGGGCTTACAAATTTGGTAGGCCCTCAGTAACGGCTGTTTTCTAGTGTGTCTGTACTTCCTTCATCTTCCTTCCGTGGGTTCGGTCCGCACATGTTTGCACCCATAGAGCACTGGGGTCTGCACAACAGCTTCGACAGCCCAAGACACGAGTAAAGTGCAGCCAGAAGGCAAAGCGGCATTGGCTGCCATTGCGACACTTGCCTGGGAGCCCCAGGCGAAATCAACAAAAAACACCAGAAGCTCTCAACTGGAAGTGCAGCGCTAAGCAACCGCGTGAGCACCTTCATTCCAGGATGCGTCTGAGGCACCCTTCTCATTCCACTTGCAGAGCGACATCTTATGGAAGAGGCCTGTGGAAACCAGCTCCTCTGTGATGTGCGCGTGGACGGGATGTGCTGGGAGGACAGGTGCCCCAAGAGTCCACCCAATTAGGCAGCAAGACCTCCGAAACTAACTAAACAAGTGAAGATTTGGGGGGGGCCTAACATCAACATCCCACACAGCAGGGCTGTCCAACATCTGTCCTGTTCTCCATGCGCAAATGCGCAAGTCTCATCTGTGCACTTGCCCTCGGCGAAGGCCTCGCAACTCAGGGGTGCTGAGGCCGATTGCGGGCTGCAGGATTTTGATCGCAGCGCAGCTCCCAAGCATTTTATTAGTTACTGTGTTTCCCGAATGCGGCTGCCTTTCATGACCTCGCGGACTGTCAAGCTGTGCAGGCCTTGCACATGCGGGTCTTGCGGAGGTCGGGCATGGCCTGGGCAGATCTGGGCAGCTATGTCCTGCAAGAAGCCTCATGATGGTGGTGGACTGTCGTCTTCATAAGATCCCGAACGTGCGTGTTTAGTGACAATGCGCAGAGCTTCGGGACAGGGCTTGACTGCATTTGAGCCCGCCTGGAGTTCGGTGCAGCTATGCGCGAAGGCGCATTGCGTACCGTAATGGCACGCCCCCTGAGGCTCTTCGCTGGAGCAGGCTAGGTAAACCATCTAGTTGTCACCTTCACTTTTAACAGTAGTTGATATGAATGTCTATCTATGCTTGAGTTCGCTGCTCAAGTTATCGAGGCTGGAGAGAGTGAGGTCAGAACTTTGGAGCTACAGCGTCTGAACCCTGGACTGTTCCCGACTTGTGCTCTTCACCCACCTGGTTGAACTAAACAAGCTGACCCCAGGCTGCACAATCAGAACAAAAGCCTTCAGGAAGTAGGTGCAGAATTTCGTCTTGTGCAGCTGGCGGTGAAGGCAAGCCTCAGGCTCGAAATCCAAACGCAACAAGGCCAGGGCTGATGCCCAGGCAAGCAGGGAGTGAAGACAGGCACGGGAGAGTTTTGAGAGTTTTGAGAGTTTGGGCGACATGGAACTTCCAGCTAAGCCGCCAAAACCATGCACTGAACATCACTGAACCATGCCAACGGCTTGCTTTGCTTGCTGCCCTTCAAACCCCACGGCAACAAGTGTTGCACAATTGCACAAGCCGCGCAAATCCGCACAGAGCCATGGCGAAGCCATCCTGTGGTATTGTCAACGTGTCAAATCCCACAAAGCCCTCCTAGTAGTCTGGCCCTTGAGTAAAGGTCCCTGCACGTCGGCTGACCTCGCCTTCCTCGATGGCCTTGGCTTGACCTAGGTGCCAAGGCTTTTTGAAATTTGACGAAGGTCATCACTCAGATTGAGCATTCATCAAACCACAAAAAAAAACGTTGTAGAAAACACACCTTTGTCTTGTTTGACCCCAGCAGCGGAAGCCCCAGCCAACTAAAACCTCGAACTCCGAAATCCACGATGAACATTAATAGCAAACTAACCAAAACATCCAACTTCTCTTGCGCGCTGCACGTCCGTGGTTCGCTCAATCGTGGTTGGGCGTCCTAATCTTAAATGATGCCAATCTACATGACTCTACAATGCCAGCTTGCTAACTGGAACTGCTTTGGCGCAATGTAGAGCTCTAAAATTCAGCAAGAAGACAACAAAATCAGGTGCACTTCAGCAACCATGTCGCAAACAACTAGCTGGGGCTCGGTCGCTCAACAGCTGGTTTCTTTCCTGCGTTGCGCAACAGAAGACGTATGAAAAACTCATCCAGGACCCAGGTTCAACGGTTTGCGTGTAGTGCAGAGCCTTATCCGTCAATTTGCTCCTGGGGTGTCCGCCTTCTAGAATCGTGACTAACTCCACTTGACAACTGGGAGCTGCGTGAGGGCAGTCTTCTCATAAACTACCGCAGCCCAAAAATGATATAAGATGATATGAACCTACCCTAATAGTGCGAACTGTGATATCCCCAACGGAAAAATGTACTCACGCGTGTGCGCAATGAGCTCTTGAGCTCGTGTTCAACGTGACGTTGCTTCCTCCCATGGCTTTGGATGTCGATGCAAGTGGTGGCTCCAGAAGCTGATATGCCTCAGTTCAAAAATGTTAGCCGATGGTACGCCCCGGTTCTGATGGCCGATATGTTCAATGTCAATGGTTTTTGTTGGGATATGGGCCTTACTTTGGGCTGCCAGATTCCAAGTGTCGGGGTGTGGGGTAATGGTAAACGTCCCTGACGCCATTACTGGGGAAGGGCAGCAGTTGATTCAGTCGCAAAGGGTGCCACAAAGGCATACGCATGAGCCTTTGAACTGATTTTTCTGCCACTGCAAAATTCACAATGGATACCGGATACCGTGGACAATGGATGGTTACGGCGGAAAACTGTTGCTGGATGCTGTCGCACAGGATTGCCGCTCAAGCTCCACAGAATACAATACCAGCAACGTCGCAAATCTTTAATGAAATTCGTGTAACGCATTTCACGGCTGGGCTCCGGACTTCAGGTCCAAAGTGTAAAGGGCACAAAGCCACCAACGCTTGAGCCAAGAAGGGGACGCAAACATTCGTGTTTCAGCTTCGGCTTGGTGGGGCTGAAGTTCACTGCCCTTCGTGCGATCAGCAGAATGAAGCACCGGCCCGTCAAGTCTCCTTCTCCAGGATGGCATCACATGCTTAAAATGCTTACATGCGCAGGTGCTCCCAGGATCTCCCGGGAAAATTGCAGTCAGCATGGCCCTTTTTGGGATCTTCATATGAAGCCAATATACTGCTGCGCGATTCAACAGCAAACATTCACGCATCCCCAAATCATAGTCCTTTATGTATGTGACTGCATAGTGAATCAATTGCTTGCCCAACGGGCAATTCCATCAAGTGCATCATCGGCAATGCATTTTCCACGTTCGTTATATCAACATCCGCGAGCTACAAACGCGCTCGCGAAAATACATGCGCGAAACTTAAGAAGTGTGCGCTACACGTGGTTTTGCCCTTGGTTTCCGGATTTCCGAAAAAATCCATCGGTTCTAATCCATGAAATTTTCTGCGTTTACACCTGCGTGGCGAGTCCTAGAACATTCCCGCTACTCTTGATTACGAAAGTAGCTACGCGGGCCACAGCGCCAACCGGCTGAGGTCCCGCACGTGGTCGAGCGGGTGACGGATAAAATCAAATAGGAATCAAGATCAAGACCAGGGATCTTAAGACAACAAAAAGCTCAACAAATCTAGAAGGAACGTGATGGCACCCTACGCCAGAGCTTCATTCTCCCAAAAGGACCATGCCTGTTCAAAGGCGTGTCCTGACGCCAAGCCCACGGCATGGTTTCCCCAAGTACAGTATATGCTCAATCGATGCTGGTAGACACCAATGCCACGCCGAAACTGCATCCAAATACTGTCTTCAACAAGATCTTCATGATCAGTTGTGTTGTTTAAGAGTGCCGCGCCCAAGACATGGTTTGCCCAAGTAAACGGTCAATCGATGCAACGCTAGTCGACACCAGGATGTCACGTTGAAACCGCTAAACTGAATGTGGACGCTGTCATCAACAAGGTTGTCTTGATCATGTTGCTAAAGAGTGGCCAAGCCAAAGACATGGCTTCCCCAAATAAACGTTCAATCGATGCAGCTCTGGTAAACACCAGGATGTCACGCTGAAACCGCCAAACTGCATATAAACGCTGTCATCAACAAAGTTCTCTTGATCATGTTGCTAAGGAGTGGCCAAGCCCAAGATATGGTTTCCCATAACAAACGCTCAATCGATGCAATGCTGGAACCAGGATGTGGCGCTCAAGCCGCCAAACTGAATGTGGACGCTGTCATCAACAAGGTTTTCTTGATCATGTTACTGAGGAGTGGCCAAGCCCAAAAGATGGTTTCCCCAAATAAACGCTCAATTGATGCAACGATAGTCGGCACAAGGCCTAGTAGACACAAACCAAAATGTCACGCAGATACCGCCAAACTGCACGTACGTGGTGTCGTCAACAAGATTTTCCTGATTATGTTGTCAAGATGTGGCCAAGCCCAAGGCATGGTTTCCCTAAACAAATGCTCAATCGATGCAACGCTGGAACCAACATGTCGCTCTGAAGCCGCCAAACTGCATGTAGATGCTGTCATCAATAAGGTTTTCTTGATCATGTTGATAGGGGTGGCGAAGCCCAAGACATGGTTTCCCCAAATAAAAGCTTAATCGCTGCAACGTTAGTAAGCAGTTGGATGTCACGTTGAAACCGCCAAACTGCATATAGACGCTGTGATCAACAATTTTTTTTGATTATGTTGTCTAGGAGTGGCCAAGCCCAAGACATGGCTTCCCAAAGCAAACGCTCAATCGATGCAACGTTGGAACCAGGATGTCACGCTGAAACTGCCAAACTGCATGTAGATGCTGTCATCAAGAAATTTTTTTGAGCATATTACTAAGGAGTGGCCAAGCCCAAAACATGGTTTCCCCAAATACGTGTTACTCGCTGCAGCGCTTGTCGACACAAGGATGTCACGTTGAAGCCGCCAAACTGCCTGTACACGCTGTCATCAACAAGGTTTTGTTGACTATTATGTTGTTAAGGAGCTGCCAAGCCCAAGACATGGCTTCCCCAAGTAAACGCTCAATCGATGCTTGCAAACCCGGACTGATGGAAGGCAGCCCTACCAGTTGTGTTCGCGTGGCCCGTGTTGCTGGAAATACGTGTGATCATGTGGGAGGCACTCCTTTCAGCCCGCCAAAATTGCAGGCTGCACTTGACCAACGCGCTCTTGGCGGAAACAGCTCCAAGTGACCAATGTGCTCTTGGTACAGCACCAAAGTGTGACAACATGCGCAGTGTGGCCTTACGCGTTGAGTTGTTTTGTTTTCTGCCTGCATTTTTTTGCATCTGCTTCCTCAAAGCCGGGTCGGGGGCAAGGATCCGCACGCGGCCAGTTGCAGGCGCCTACCATGCCCCAAGGGGGAAACGCCCGGCTGTCGCAGCGAGTTCCGTTCCCAGCGAGCATCAGCCAACAGGTCGGGGAACACCGGAACCTCCAGGCCGACGTTGTGAGGCTCAGCTTTGGGGCTTTGAGGTTTGAGGTCGCAGACAGCAGCCGAGCGAACTTTGCAAGGTTTTGAGGCTGCGAGGCTTAGAGAGAACGAGAGGTTTCGAGGTCGAGGCCGACACTTCGCGGTTTGCATGGCCGAGCTGTTTAAGTTTGAGGCTTCAGTGATTTCGAGGTTATGTAACCCGGTCCAATTCCCAGCTTGGAAAGCATACAAAGCTTTGAAGCAACAAGGTACCGAAGAGTCTGGTGGATGCGCGCAAAGACGAGAAGCAGGAACAGCAGGCTGCGGCGAACCAAGGCCCGAAGAGCTTCTCGATGGTGGCGGGCAAGTAGTGCGTGTGACATACCCTGAAACCTCGAATCCTGAAAATGAAGCCAATCCAACAG